ATGGGGTCTGGGCTGGATGCTAAGAGCCCGAGGAAGAGGAAGGTGTAGGCTCTGCCCTCTGAGACCTTCCAGTTCAATCCAGCAGAAACTGATTGGAAAGGAACCTGTAGAATCCTAGTTGTAAGGCTGAAAGAGGGCTGGCCTGGTCCTGACTGGGGCCTCATCAGTCTTGGGAGAGGCCTGCAGGGGCATGCAGCTAATAGATGTCAGCATTGGGATTTGAACCCAAAACTCTTGATTACAATATCCACATCACTACCCCCACCAGCCTCTTCCAGCTTTAAATCTGATGAGCACGGAATTCTTCGAATTGTACCCAGTAGGTGTCTAATGGATGCTGATTGATTAAGCAGATTTCATTGTGGCTGCCCTGGGCCTGCTGACCCCTTTCCAGGTGTCCTGTGGCATCTCCTGATTACTGGTGAGGCCCAGAGAGGTTGGATGGTAAGGGAAGTTAGCTGGGCTACAGAGGAGGGTGCTTTATAAGACGTTAAGGCTGGGAGGTTGGGTTGGGCCAGACTGTGGAGATTGAGCCTCCAGGCCTCTGGTTGACTTTGGGTGGGAGAGGGGGAGGGGGCACGGAGAATTTTTACCCAGCTCTGGGCTGGGCACGGTCACTCTACAAGAAGTCCATAGGCATTTATTAAATGCCTACTCTGGGCTAAGCACTGTACTAAGTGCTGGGGATTCAAAAAGAGGCAAAAGATGGTCCCTGCCCTCAAGGAGCTTACAGTCTAATGGGGGAGACAAGAAGCCATCAGAAAGAGTACAAATGAACTATATATAGGCAAAATAGTAAACAATTAAAAGAGAGAAGGCACCAGTATTAAGAGGGGTTGGCAAAGGCTTCCTATGGAAGATGAGATTTTAGTTGGGACTTAACAGTAAATCTGGAAAATCAGGAGGCAGAGGGGAGGGAGAGCGTTCCAGGCAGGGGGACAGATAGAGAAAATGCTCCAAGCTAAGAGATGGAGGGAACGGCTGAGAGGACCTGTCTGATGAAATTAATAACATTCCAATATCATTTACAGTAGGGAAAGTTGCAAAATATTATACTTTGGTACAAAAAATAGACCATAGGTACAAGATAGGGGAGGTGTAACAGAATACCAATTTGTCTGGAAACAATCTGGTAGTCTTGGTGGACTGCATGCTCAACTATGAGTCAAACAAATGTGGTGGCAAAAAAGCTAATGTGATCTCAGACTGCATTCAGAGGGACAGAGCTTCCGGGAATGTGTGATAGGAGGGTCCTGGAGCATCGAGGTGGCACAGTGGGTAGAGCACTAGGTCAGGAGTCAGGAAGACCTGTCTTCAAATTGGCCTCAGAAACGTGCTGTGTGACCGTGGGCAAGTCACTTCACCCTGTTTACCTCAGTTTCTTTATCTGGAAAATGATCTGGAAAACCACTCCAGCACCTTTGCCAAGAAAACTCCAAAAGGGGTCACAGAGAATTGGTCATTACTACAGCAACATGGTGGTCCTGTTGAGGTTCAGGGGTGCTGGGACCCCAGAATCAGAACACACAGATCCTGCCAAAAAGAATTCGACCCAAGGCTTCTTTCAGCCAAAGACAAGGTTTATTAAAGATCTGCCATATTAGCCAGACTCTTAAGGAATCTGAGCATCTGGGAGCTTGTAGTAGTGACTAGATAATAAGAATCCGAGCACCTTCATGGAGACAAGATGGACCTTATATACAGAAAGACTTAGCCAAAGAGCCTGGAGAGGTGGGGGATGGAACTGTGAGGTAATAGAATGCCTGGGGACCTGGAATATGGCCAAGGGAGAATGGAGACTAGCTTGGATTAAGGGTGGGAACTGGCCAGAGGCTGTAGGGAGGTAAGACTTCGGAGGGCAAGGCTAGGTTTAGGGTAACCCAGAATTGAGAGATTGGGTGTGGCCACAATGAAAGGCCAGTTGATGGGATTATAGCCTCAGGCAAAGGCCAGGGATTTGGCCATGTGGGAAAATCCAGGGTTTTTCCTTCCTGGGGTCCAGATCCCAACCCCATCAGGCCCAAAGTACTCTGCCTTGGTGTTACTGGAGTGTTTGATTTTCTTGCAACTAACACTTACCTCACCTGACCAAAATTTGCCCTGGGGGCTATAAAAATTCACTTAAGAATCTTAAGTATTCCTTCCATAAGAAACAGTGAGAGCATCTCAAGTGCTCCTGACTCCTCCTCCATCAACCTAATTGGGAATTCTCTAAAGATCTGTTTAGTCTGTAACCTGGTTTAGTTTGCCTATTGTCTGACCAAACCTGCTTCAGTAGGGGACCTATGAGATTGTCGATCTGTCTAGCAAAATTGGTCCAGCTTTCGTGACGTTGAAGGAAGCATGGGATTATGGATTGAGCTCTGTAGCTTTGATGGCCCAAGAAGAATGGTCAGAATTGCAATGTATGGAAATGAATTTTGTCTCTGACTGCATTTTTTCCTTTAAGAAACCTTGTTAGAATCCTGTTGATGGTTTGGTTTTCTCTAAGGCCCAAACCTATGCTTGAGTGTAATAATAAGACCTGGGTTTTTGCCTCTATCATTTCTGAATTGTGGTAAATAAACGTTTGGTAGCAGTTACCTACTGCAGGAACCCAGACAGGAGCTAACTTCCCTGTGACGCTGGTCAGAGCTCATCTGTACCAATGTAACCAGTCCAGGGCTCCGCCATTGAGGGAAGACGTTGATGAGTGCTCAGAGGAAGGTGGCTGGGGTGGGGGTAAGGCCATTGGCCTATGAAAGAGACTCCTCTTTGGGCCTGGTCATTCAACCATTTCCTAAATCTGTCCAACTGTATATACTGTCTTCTAGCCCACATCTCACTTTTTTGTCCGCAAGAATAGCAAGGAAGACTTCATCAGGTCCCCATTGCTACAGTCTAGGTAAACTGTCTTCAGCAAGGGTTCTTAACCCGGGGTCCAAGAATGCAGGAGGGCCCTTGGGATAGATACCAAATCTATCCATAGATAGATTTCAGGAGTTCCATATGTTAAAAAATATTTTGGTAACTATTTTAATACAATTGGTTTACTTTATAAATAGTATTCTGAGAAGAGGGAGGGGAAGGGAAGGGAAGAAGCATTTATATAGCACCTGTCTACTTACTGATCACTGCATGCTAGGCACTGTGCTAAGCACCCTACAATTATGGTCTTATTTGATCCTCACAACCACCCTGAGAGGCTGCTATTATCCCCGTTTTGCAGGTAAGAAAACAGAAGTAGACAGAGAGGTGAAGTGACTTACCCAGAGTCCTACGGCTAGTAAGGGGCTGAGGCTAGATTAGAATTCAGGTCTTCTTGATTTCAAGCCCAGTTCTTTATCCACTGCACCACCTTGTAGCTTCAGGTCTGTGATCTTTTGAGCCTCTGATCTTTTGTCAGCCTCTGTTTCCTCACCTATAAAAGGGGATAATAATAGCTCCTACTTCACAAGATTGTCGTGCAGCTCAAATGAGATCCGTGTGTAAAGTGTTTTTCAAACCTTAAAGAGCTATATAAATGCTAGCTGTTGTTGTTTTTATTGTTATTATTGTCGTTAGTGTGAGTCCTCGGAGACGAGCTCACTGTTTGCTCCCTTCAAGTCCGGGGTTTCTAGTACTGCTGATCATGAGCCCCCACTGGTGTGCTCTCTCTTGCTGATTAACCAATTGAATTCCATACGTTTTAGAAAAGAGAGTAGGTATAGCAAGAGTATTTGGTGCAAAACACTCCCATCAAACCAAAGACACTCTCTCCTTCTGTGTACAAAGTGTCTGGGGAGAGTGAGTTCAAACTTAAAATGTATGAGTATTGAGATATGAGTATAGTATAACTATATATGTATATGTATGTACACATATATGTATGTGTGTGTATATAGATATAGATATAGTATAACTATATATGTATATGTATGTACACATATATGTATGTGTGTATATAGAGATATAGTATAACTGTATATGTATATGTATATACACATATATGTATGGGTGTGTATGTGTATATATAGATATAGTATAACTATATATGTATATATGTATGCATATATGTATGTGTGTATATAGAGATATAGTATAACTATATATGTATATATGTACGCATATATGTATGTGTGTATATATATAGATATAGTATAACTATATATGTATATATGTATGCATATATGTATGTGTGTATATAGAGATATAGTATAACTATATATGTATATATGTACGCATATATGTATGTGTGTATATATATAGATATAGTATAACTATATATGTATATGTGTGTACACATATATGTATGTGTGTATAGAGATATAGTATAACTATATATATGCATATATGTACGCATATATGTATGTGTATGTGTATATATATAGATATAGTATAACTATATATGTATATGTATGTACACATATATGTATATAGAGATATAGTATAACTATATATGCATATATGTACGCATATATGTATGTGTATGTATATATATAGATATAGTATAACTATATATGTACACATATATGTATGTGTGTATATAGAGATATAGATATAGTATAACTATATGTATATGTATGTACACATATATGTATGTGTGTGTGTGTGTATATATATATAGATATAGTATAACTATATATAACATAACTCCTTTCTCTGGGAGTCTCTTTCTTTCTCTGTGACACTGATCTTGCCTTGTTCTCCTCTTCTGAGTCTGACGGTGTCTTCTTAGGCTGCTATGCTGGAGGTTTATCCAGATCCTGTGATCCTCTTCACATATTAACTCTATGTCCTCGGGCAAATCACTTAAACCCTTCAGTACTCCAGTCAAGAAACTCAAGTTATGGAACAGCTGTGAATGTTCTCTATACCAGTGAAATTACAGGTTTAGACTAAACAAAGTCTAAATAAACGGTAATCTTTAACAAACACAAATATTCAAATACTGAAAAAAGACTTTAACAGATGATTCTATGTGAGGTTTTTACTGTTTACAAAACACTTGATAACTGTCATCTTCTCTCCTGGCTTTCTAGGTATCACTGAAATTTTGATGAACAGACCTCAGGCCCGAAATGCTCTGGGCAAAGTCTTTGTCAGTGAGGTGAGTGAACCTGGCCCTACATCCTCCAGTAGGGTCTCCCTGCCCAGTTATGACCTTGCTGCAGAAAAGGGCAAGAAATAGATTTCCACAGACTGGTGTCAGAGTGGGGGAAACCAAAGGATACACAGAACCCAGAGGGGTTCCCCATCTCCACCCTTGGCCAAGCGTTCCTTTGGCTCTGGGAATCTAGGAGAGGACTTGAAAGGCTGTCAGGTGGAAGAGGGATTATTAGCTTTGCTGTGCTTGGCTCCAGAGGGCAAACCTGGGCACAAAGGGTGGAAATTATAAAGAGACAGATTCAGGCTTGAAGTCAGGAAAAGCTTTCTAAAAATGATAGAATCCCAGAAGTGGATCCATTCTAGTCCAACTCACATCTAAAAGGAATCCCCATTATAATAGACCTGAAAAGCAGTCACCCAGCCTCTGCTTAAAGATATCCAAGGAAGGGCAAGTAGTATTATCCCAAAGTAGTATTGTATCAAAGGATGCTCCGTAGTGGAAGATAGGGGCTTCCCCCTTTTTGGAGGTCTTCAGACAAAGGCTGGGTGGCCACTTGGAGAGGTTGCCAAGGGAATCCTCATCCAGGTCTAGACTGTACTCACCCTCCGAGGTCCCTTCCAGCCCAGTCCTGGGACTCTGATTGGGAAGCCTTTGGAGAACTCCGAATGTATTCAATTTGATTCTGTTCAGTAAGCATTTATTAAGCCCCTGCTGTATAGAAAGGCCTGTCCTAGGTCCTGGGGAAACAAAGACAAAATGAACAAGTCCTTGCCCTGAAGGGGCAAGGGGGCTTACATTCTATTAGGAAGATAAACAAGTACACAGATGATGGCAAAAATATTTAAGAAGAGAGAACAGTAACCACTGTGGGTATCAGGAAGGATCTCATGTCAGAGGTGCTGGCTGATCTTGGAAAAGAGGCCAATGTGAGGAGGGAGTGTGGTCCAGTTATGGGGAGGAGGGGACATTACTAGAGCAAAGGCAGAAGGAATGCCAAGTTCTGGAAGCAGCCAGGAGGCCGGTTTGTCTGGAACACCTCGGTGTGTTTGGAAGGACAAAACCTCTTGAATCGGGGCCATCCACTGTGCTCCCATGTGTCTGAAAGGCTGACGCGTGGAAGAAAGATTAGGCCTCACACTAGTGGGCCTGGGGGTGGGGGTGGGGGGGTGTCTGGTCCAATCCCCACCCTGAAGGAGTCCCCAAGATCACATACCAACAAGTAGCTGTCTGGCCCCCCTGCCCCCGAGGCTCCTGAAGGTGACTCTGACTTCTCCCGGTTCAAGAAAAGTTCTGCCCACTTCCACCATTCTAGACAGGGCATGGCTCAGAGTAGACAGAGACATTCTGTTATTTCAGAGTGTTATCTTGGGTCAGAGACATGACAGCAAGTTCTTGTACAGTCCTAGCTGCCTTCCCCTGGATAAGCTTACTAGGTGCCAGGCACTGTGCTAAGCTCTGGGACGATACAAAAGAAGGCAAAACCAGTCCCTGCCCTCTAGATACTTATGATTAAATGGGGGGGGGAACAATCCGAAAATAACTGTGCAGACCATATTACTGTATACTGTGCACATAGAAATGATGGCATAAAGGAGAAGTTACCCAAATTCATTCTTCTCTCTTCCTCTTCCCCCAGTCGTCCTTGGCTCTTCCTTTCCCTGGGCCCAGCAGGGATGCCCAGGCCCTTTTCACCTGCTTCTTACCCGGATTGTTTCTCTCTTCCAGTTATCAGATGCCCTGGATGAGCTTCGCCTTGATAGGAGCATCCGAGTGGTCGTGTTTAAGAGTAGCGTCAAGGGGGTATTCTGTGCGGGTGAGTAGCGTCCAAGGACACCTCCAAGTCTGGGTCTGCGTGCCCTTGCCTTCCTGGCTGCCCCTCCCCACCTGCCCACAATTCTCACCATAGCAGAAGCCAGTGAGATCCAATCCAATCCAGCAAGCATTTATTAAACACTTACTGTGTATTGAGCGCTGGTGATACGGGACAAAAACCAAGGTGGCCTCTGCCCTCGAGCGGCTTCTGTTCTCTTAGGAAGATACCACAGGTGTCCCTCAGACTTGATGTGACCTGGTGCAGTAGCGAGGGGTGTCTCACAATCCAGATTGGACTCCTCCCTGGCCCTGTGAGAGGTGACTTCCTCCCTGCCTGAGAGGTCACCATCAGTCTCATCACTGCCATCCCCAGGCAGAGCTCCCCCTGTCCCTTGCGGTCTGGATCAAGGCACCTTGCCCTCCTGTTCACACATACCCAGGTTGCTTGCAGGGAGGATAGAAGCTGGCATGGGTGCGAGCCCAAATTTGGGGTCTGGCTTTCAGCAGCTACACTGAGTGTCAAAACTCCAGCATGGGCCAGCTGGGACTTGCTGCCTTCTTGCTCTGGGACATGATGAAAGGGGCTGAGAATGGTGGAATGGTGTCTGCTCCACCCTGCTCCCTGGGCTTTCCTGCCCAGTGTTTGCTGGATCCAGTTGTTGGATTAAGGAGCCCCAGGGGTCCTAGGAGCTGAGAGCTGGAGCAGAAAGGGGCCTCAGAGGCCAGCCCCCCTCATTTCACAGGGAAGGGAAGTGACTTCTCTGGGGTCACACTGTAGTAAGATCAGGAGATGGAATTTGAACACCAAATCTGCTACTCTTTCCACTGTGCCCCACTGCCTCCTATGGGAGGATGGGACCGCAAATGGGGAACTGCAATAGTGAACCATCAAAGATTCCCAAATTCTTAGAATTCCTGGCCATCACAGAGGCCCCTCCTCCAACCCACCCCAGTAGGCCCCTTTGCAGCCTCTCTGATCCAGGTGTGGTCAGAATACCACCAAGCCTCAGGGGTGCTCCCCTAGCCAGGCTTCCTCCTCTCTAGGTGCCAAAGAGGCTCAGTCCTGACCCCTCCCCCAATGTGCTCTGGCCCCTCCCAGGTGCTGACCTAAAAGAAAGAGAGCAAATGAATGAGGCCGAGGTGGCTGCCTTCGTGCACAAGCTCCGGAGTCTGATGAGCCAGATTGGTAAGAGCTGGAAGCTAAAGGGAGGACTGGAGGGGGCAGGAGCAGGTCCCAAGGGCCCAGCCCACTCTACCATCCACTGTGCTCCCATGTGTCTGAAAGGCTGACACGTGGAAGAATGATTAGGCCTCACACAAGTGGAGAGTTAGAAGGGGCCTGGGGGGGGCGGGGTCTGGTCCAATCCCCACCCTGGAGGAGTCCCGAAGATCACATACCAACAAGTAGCTGCCTGGCCCCCCTCCCCCCGAGGCTGCCCTTTCCACTCTGGGACAGCTCACTGCCCCTTCCCACACTGTTCTGGGGCTAAGCAGAGCCAGGCTGATCGCTCTTCTATTGATAATCAAAGACAGCTCTCCTGATGAGGCCTAGAGGTTTAGGGGTTCTGGAACCCCAAAATCACACAGATCCTTTCCGAAAGAATTCAACCCAATTCAGCCTTCTTTCAGCCAAAGACAAGGTTTATTAGAACATCCACCATACTGGCCAGACTCTTAAGGATTCTACATTTAAGAATCTGAGCCCTTTAATGGAGACAAGATGGACCTTATATACAGACAGACTGTGGGAGGCATCTAGGAGGGATCTTGATGGGAGTGACTGGGAGGTCCAGAATGGGGTCTAGATATAGGGTTAAGGGTGGGAAGTAGCTAGGGGCCATAGGGAGGTAAGACAATGGAGGGCTAGGCTAGGTTAAGGGTAACAGAATTGGGAGATTGGGTGTAGCAACAATGAAAGGTCAGTTGATGGGATTATAGCCTCAGGCAAAGCCAGAAATTTTGGCCATGTGGGAAAGTCCAGGGTTTTCCCTTTTTGGGGTCCAGATCCCATCCTCATCACTCCCAGCTCTCCCCACCCCCAGGGTAACCTTCTGCGCCTAATCGTGGCCAGGTCCCTCATTTGGTTCTCAGATGCTGTAGACCACTTGGGGCCCTTGCCCACTCTGGTTCCCCCGACCACTCTCTAGAGCCTCCGTGGCCAGGGCCATCACCAGTTCTCCAGATGTGGAGAACTCTTGACAGGGCAGCCCATGGCAGGCTTTGCTCTCTCACCTCCAGCAGAGCCAAGGCAGGATTGACCTTCCTGACCTCAGCCTTGGGCATCTTCCTCTAGAGCTTGCTACAAGGGATGGCTGCCTAAATAGAGGAGGGGAAGGGACATATTCAGAAATTAATCCCTTTGGGATGTAAAAGTTGTATTTAAAATGAATTGGGAATATGTGGGTAGTTGTGAAGAGGTCTAGAGGTTTAGGGCTGCTGGGATCTCAAGATCACGAAGCACGGGTCCTGACTGAAAGAATTCGACCCAAGCCTTCTTTCAGCCAAAGACAAGGTTTATTAAAGATCCTCCATATTAGCCAGACTCTTAAGGAAATCTGAGCATCTGTGAGCTATTGGCTAGATTATAAGAATCTGAGCACCTTAATGGAGACAAGATGGACCTTAAATACAGAAAGACTATGAGAGGGATCTAGGAGTGGCCAAGTAGTCTACTGGAACTGTAAGGTAATAGAACACCAGGGACCTGGACCACAGTGGCCAAGGGAAAAGGGAGTGTAGATAGGATTAATGGTGGGGATTTAGGGAGGTAAAAAATGGAGAGCTAAACTAAGTTAAGGATAACTGAGAATTGGGAGATTGGGTGTAGCCACATGAAAGGCCAGTTGATGGGATTATAGCCCCAGGTGAAGGCCAGGGATTTGGCCATGTGGGAAAGTCCAGGGTTTTTCCTTTCTGGGGTCCAGATCCCAACCCCATCAGTTGGGAGTGAGAGTAGGGGAAGGCAGCTCCCAAAGTATTTACTGGATAACAAGGAAGAACATTTCCCTAGATCAGTAATTGATCTCTTCTCCACTCAGCTGAATTTACCTAGAGTCAGGGAAACTGAGGCCCAGGGAGGCATAGCAGTGTTCCCAAGTGCTATCCTGAGGCCAGCTGTGCTGGACTGAGTCCTGGGATCCTTGGGCTGGGTCCTTCTGTGAGGGACAGCATCAAATCCTGTCCCATCTCCCTGGCTAGGCCCTGAGTTCCGAGCTGTGTCTTAGCATGCTCTCCTTGTCCCCCTAGCCACATTCCCTGCGCCTACCATTGCAGCCATTGATGGATTTGCTCTGGGTGGGGGCCTTGAGCTGGCCTTGGCCTGTGATCTCCGTGTGGCAGGTATGTTGTCAGCAGAGATGGGGGGTGGCAGGGGGGAGGGGAAGAGATTCCCAGAAAGCTAGAATCTCTTCCCAAAGTAACAAGTTTGGAAGAAAGGAGAGCTTCATATGGGCTGGAACACTCAAGGCAGGCTTTCCGGGAGAATTGGCTGGGGGGGGGGATCCCAGATTTACAGCTGAAAGGGCCTTCAGAGGCCAGCTAGATCCACCTCATTTTACCAAAGGGGAAACTCAGACCCGGGGGGGATGAAGTGGCTTGCTGGTAGTAAATATCAGAGACAGGGTTTGTCCTCTGGCTCCAAATCATGTTCTCTTTCTCCCCATTGTATAGATGAGTTAGCTGAGACCCAGACATCAAAGGTCACTTCCCTGGGGTCATATAGCCAGTGAATGCAGGAGGTGAGATCTGACCAGGTCTTTTGTATGGGAGACATCAGACTGCCAGTGAGAGTGAGGGGAAGGCAGGCCAGGGAAGGGAACAGCCTGAAGAAAGGCCCTGAGGTTGGAATAAGCAGGGCCCAAGAAGGACGCCAGCCTGGTCAGAACAGAAAGAGGTCGTGGTAGAGGGCATCGAGTCATGAAGAAAGTATTAAACACTTTTGCCTGTGTATGCGAGGTGCTGTCCTTGGTGCTAGTGTGTGTTGGGGAGGAGGAAGAGGTCAGGCTGGGGAGAGGCAGTGTGAGGAATAGATGGATGGATGAATGAATGAACAAGTAAACAAATGAATGAATAAATAAATGGGTGAAAAAGTCTTTTTTAGAGCACTTACTATGTACCAGGGACTGGGCTGAGCCCTGTGGATACAAACATAAAAAGTAAGAACCAACCGGGCATCCATTGTCTTGGTTTTGTGTGTGCGTGTATTTTTAATACTTACGGTTAAAGACAATTGGCTTCCTTTGTCATCTCATGTCTTTTATGTGTTTAAAAACATGACTCTAAGGAGGGCCCTTGCTTCGCCATACTGATGGCTGCCCTAGAGCCGAGGACACCAAAGACAAGAAGAGCCCCTGTTCTTAAAGGGTTCTCATGAAAGAATAGGGTCATAGGATCCTCGATCGAAAGCAGGAAGGGCCATGGGAGGCCAGCTCATTCAAGCACCTTTCGTTTTATAGATGGGGAAACTGAGGCCCAGGGAAGTGAAATCTTGCTGAAGAGCACCCACTAGGAGGAAGTAACAGAGTTTGAATTCGGGACCTTGAACTATAAATCCAGGGCTCTTTTCATAATATCAGTTCAGTCATTGGACTTGGAGTCAGGGGACCTGGATTCAGATTGTGTTTCTGCTTTTTAGCTGAGTGACCCTGGACAAGTCACCGACAAGTCTCAGTTTCCTGATCTGTAAACTGGAGATAATAATTCATGCATACTCTGCATGACAAAGTCCCCAAGCCAAGCACTCCGTAAACTGAAAAGCATTACAGAAAAATGAATTATTATCATTGCAGAGGCACTTGGATGCTAGGCTGAACAGTTTGGCTTTTGTGTTGACAGACACTGGTTTGGGGAAGATTTGCCTTGGGAGTGGGGTGGCTGGGGGAGGGATGAATAACAGATGAAGGAGGCAGAGAGGTGTCAGTGTCTGGGGTGGGGGGTTGCCATATTTTTCAGCCTCCCTCCACACTGTCCCACAGTACACAGAGGAGCCTGGGTCTTTGGTGGATAAAGGGCTTAGGGGGAGAGCAGAAGGGAGAGGAGGCCTGGAGAGGATGGGAGGGGACCTTCACAATGTCTCCTGTTTAAACAGCTTCTTCTGCCATCATGGGACTGATAGAAACAAGCCGAGGACTCCTTCCAGGGGCAGGTACTTTTGGTCCCAAGCCTTCCCCACCCCACTTCCCTGACTCCAGGGGATGGCCACATTCTCCCTCTGTTTCTGCCATTCCCCCACCTGAATCAGGCAGTCTTTGGTCAGGTGTTTGGCACCTGCTCCAATCTTGTGCTCTGATGTTTGGCATTGGGAGGAAGGCCTTAGAGGAAAGGGAAGGACATAGAATGTGCCTCCTCTGGGAAGCCCATGAAGTTCTGTCTCTTCTGCCCCTCTGCCTCCCTGCCTGGGCCCACACTCCTATCCTTTTACAGGAGGGACCCAGCGCCTGCCTCGGTGTGTGGGAGTAAGCCTGGCCAAGGAGCTCATCTTCACCGGGCGCCGAATCAGTGGGGAAGAAGCGAAAAGCATCGGGCTGGTGAACCACGCGGTGCCCCAGAACCAGGAGGGCACCGCTGCCTACCACAGAGCCCTAGAGCTCGCCAGGGAGATAGTGCCACAGGTGATGGAACTGGGGGGTAGGGCATGGGACCCTCCCATTCCTTCCTGCCAGCATCTGCCACCTTCCCCACACACAGGCACACGCTGGCTTGGGCCTTCTGCCCTTTGGCCATGGGCGCCATGGAAAGGATTAATTGTAGTCCCCAGTTTTCTTTCAGTATCTAGCATTCTGGGCAGTCAGTCAGGAGTAGGCCAAAGTTGTACGTGTCAGGAGTGAGAGGGAAGGGAGTGATTCAGAGTCCAAAGGGCCTAGAATGTGCAGAGCCGGTGGCAAAATCTCATAGTCCTTCATCTGCCAGAAGGCTTGTAGTTGGCGGCTTCCAACTTATCCAAGTAATATCTAAGCAATGGTGTCTGCTGTATGATACTAGAGGGACTAGAACCTGGCCAACAGACATTGGGAAGTGGGGAGGGGGCCTGAGGGTCCAAGTGGTGTGGGGATTCTGGGTTCCCCCTGGGGTGGGGATGGGGGAGGTCGGCATCTAGCTGGGAGAGGGGCATGGGCAGGATGAGTGGGGGTGAAGAGCCCCACTGCCAGCTATTCCTGCCTAGCACCCCCCAGAGGGATCTGGGCAGGGGGGAAGGTTGCCCCTTGATAGCAGCTGCCCTCTGTGAGGTTTGGGTGGCTGGGGGAGGGGTAGGGAGGGAGAGGCAATTTCCCCCACCCTCAGCTGCTGTTCCTCTTCATCAGTCTTAGGTGAGCATAAGTGCTTTGAAGGCAAGAACTTTTTCATTTTGTCTTTGGGACTAGCACATAGTAAGTGCCTGTTGAATTGAATTAATTTCTTTTGGCCTGGTTGCTCATCTGTAAAATGAAGGTGTCAGCTCTCTCAGGGCCCTTCCAGCTTTGACATTCCATGACTTGCCCACATTGGTACCTGAGACAAGGACTGGTAATAATGTTCATGAGTCTGAGCAGATCACGGAGCTTTCTGGGTCAGGGACCTGGCCTGGCTTAGCCTGATCCGGCCTACTTAATGACTCAAGCATGTCTCTTTCCCCATGTAGGCTCCCTTTGCAGTGAGAATGGGAAAAGTGGCCATTGACAAAGGAATGGAGGTGAGAAGCGGGGTGGGGCCTGGTAAAGACTAAGGTGGGACCCAGGAGCTGCAAGCACAGGCTTCTAACATGGAGTCACAGAGGGATGACTGAAAATAGAGCTGGCATGGTATGGGGAAAAAAGCCCTAGCTCTGCCATCAAAGGACCTACGTTCAAATACTAGCTCCCTTTCTCAATACCTGTGTGACCGACCTTGGGCAAGTCAGTTTCCTGGGCCTTGGGATTTCTCCACCGGGAAGGTGAACTCAATAGTGTTTCTTAACCTTCTTTTTGCGTTCTGTACCCATTAGTACGGTCTGGTGAAGCTATAACCCCTTCTTAGAATAATGTTTGTAAATGCACATCATTCTTAGCATTGCAAAGGAAACATTTTACTGAAACACAGTCATCCAAATTAGAAAATCCAACAAGTTCATGGTCCCCCAAGTTAGGAGCCCCAGAACTAGAGAGCTACCATCCTCTGCTCTCAACTGCCCTTGGTTGCCACCTTGGGGGAGTGGGGAAGGTTTCTAAGGCTGGTACTGCATGAAAGCCCCAGAGGATAAACAGAGATGGGCTAGGACTAGAGAAAATAGTTACCCAGTAGCCCTATGCTGAGGAGGAGGCTGGGGTCCATGACGCTGGGCAGATTGTGGGTGCGTGATCCCTGGGTCCAGAGAAGGATGAGGACCAAGTGAGATGGCTCAGTCTGGGAGCAGAGGCTGTGCCAAGCCCCTCCAGGGTTCAGCCAAGAGTCTGTTCCTGGTCTGGAGCCTGAGAATTGACCTGCTAGGAACATTAGCTGGCCTCCAGGTCCTGCCTTGTGTGCCCGCAGCCCAGGGCTGTGTTCCTTACCTTGGCCCAGGCACTGGGCCTCTCTCAAAGCCAAGCTAGCCCACCTTGAGGCCTGGAAGGACACACAGGGACCCTCTGAAACTTCAGGGCAAATGGAGGAGTGGGCAGTTGTCAGGCAATAGGCCCAAGCCCAGCCTAAGCCTGACCCCACTGAACAAGGCCACAGGGATTGGAGCTGGGCTTTAAAGTCTCTGATGTAGACTCGGAGATCGTGGCTCTGCCCCTTCATCCTCAGCAAAGTTAGGGTGTTGGAACATAGCAGGGCTTCACCTTTTCTGGGTCCAGGACCCCTTCTCAATTACATTTTTAAAAGCATCAAATGAACTTACGTGGGATTACAAAGGAAACCAGTTCTATTGAAATCATTAGCAATATATATTTTTCTTTTCTTTCTCTTTTTTGTTGAGGCAATCAGGGGTAAGTGACTTGCCTAGGGTCACACAGCTAGTATCATATGTCTGAGGCCTGAGTTTTGAACTTTTGAACCAGTAGGTGCTCTATCCTCTGCACCACCTAGCTGCCCCTAGCTATTTTTTGAAAAGCTCATCAGACCCCAGATTAAAGACCCATGGACTCGAGATCTCTAAAATCCCTCTGACACTCCTTGTTCTAAGGAAGTTTGCTGTGGCTGAGCTAGGGATGCCTCTATTTCTCCCCATCCCCGTCCCCCCACCAGCCCCTTAGAATGTCATCTGGATCCTGGTTCTACTTCCTCCTTCCCCACAGGTGGACATCGCGTCCGGAATGGCCATTGAAGGAATGTGTTATGCCCAGGTAGGCTGTGGCTAGATTACATGGATCGCCTCCCCTGACTAGCCTGCGTTTGGGGTTGGGGCTGAGGAGAGCTGGGTTCGAGTCCTCCTCTTTCCCTCCCTACATAGCCATGTGATTTCAGGGAAGCCACCTCCCATCCCTGGGCCTTGGTCTCCTCATCCCTCCACCGAGGGTGGAGGTCCTACTCATGTGACATCTAGGAGCGTGGAGAGAATCTCACGTAGCTTTTGACTCTAACAGTGAGAGCCATCCCACCATGCAGGGGGCTGCCTGGGGAGGGAGGGAGCTCCCAGGAAATCCCTTGACAGCTGCCAGTTGCTCTGGGTGGCCAACAAGGCCCTGTCTCGCTCAAATTCAGTGATTCTGTAAGTTGTGATTTGAAGGTGAGGAGTGAAGGGTTGCTCTCCCATCAGACTTGAAGGAGTTGGCCGTGGGCTCATCAGTCAGTCCAACAATGTCAGGATCCCTGGTTAGATCTCAAAAGGGCCTAGGGTAGGAGAAGCTAGTCTGATCTGCACAAGCTAAGGCCTCTCATTGCCCAAGAACTGAAACTGATATCCCTGGGTGGCTGGAAAGCCAGGTGTCAGTCATGTGGACGTAGAGCCCTGGGGTGTGTGTGTTGTGTCTTTATGTCTGTCTGTCTGTCTCTGTTTAATCCTGTGGGACTAAGGGGTCAATGACCAGAGGCTGTCTTTGCCAACAGTTCCCTAGACATGGCTGCAGGGATCCAGCATGCCAGGGATGGTGGGAAGAATTATGATCTTGCATTTTTTTTCAGAACATCCCAACCCGGGACAGGCTGGAGGGCATGGCAGCCTTCCGGGAGAAGCGGCCACCCCACTTTGTTGGCGAGTGACTCTGACAGTGTTGTTCTGGGGAAGGGGGAGCGTCCACCTCCCTGCAGCCTTGGCCCCCGCAGGCAGAAGCACCTACAAGTCAGTCCCTACAAGCACGTCCTCTGTTCTTCCATAAAGTCCTTCACCTTGATCAGTGACTGCTGTGATTTCCGTTCCCTCTGCATCATGGCCTTGCTGCTCTGGCACCGGGGCCCACCGGCCACCTCCCCTCACAGACACACAGGGCACGTCCATCAGGATCCCTCAGCCACCACACCCCTCAGCCTGCATGTCTTACAGGTGTGGAAAGACCTCAGGAGGCAGGAGCCCTCTAGGTTTCATTCTCTCTCTCCATAAAGCAAGGGATTGAACTAAAGTTCAATCTAACAATTGAGCTAACTGGCATTTATATGGCACTTTTAAAATATAAGCTCATGATCCTCACAACAATCCTGGGAGATGCTATTATTTATCTCCACTTTGCAGATGAAGAAACTGAAGCCCAGAGAGATTAAGGGACTTGCTAGCAAGTGTCTGAAGTAGGATTCAGACACTGTGGCCTACAACTGAGCCGTCTGCTACTGACAGACAGACAGACACCTACAAGGCTGAGGACTTAGGGCTGACACTTGTTCTCAGCCACTGAGGAAAAGCTAACGGCCTGGGCTCTCTCCTCCTGTACTGGGGGCAGCTTTCTCAGCTTTCCTGGCCATGGGTCCCAGAAATGGCCTGACAGTATGCTCTTCCTGGTGCTTCCACCGCCATCCCCTAGCAGGCATGGTTGCCTGACCACCTGGGGACCAAATCTGGCTGTCCCAGAAAATACGAAAACTGGGTCACAGGAGAGCGAACCCATGGGCAGTGCCCGCCTTGTGGATGGTGCCTGGAGTCCGGGGGGTCTTGTAGACCAACTAGTACAACCCTCATTCTGGGAGCCCCCGGGGGTGAGCAACAGAACAGCAGGGGCAACATCAGGCATCCCTTCCTGCCCTCCCAGGTCTCATTGGAGCCCCATAAACAACTCTGTGAGGCAGATGCCACAGGGACTGTTACTGACACTGCCCCCACTAGGACCACTGCAGTAGCTGCTGGGGGGCCTGCCTACCTCATCTCTCCCCTTCAGCTGTCACGATGATCTTGCAAAGCACAGTCTGTCTGAACATGTCATGCCTATGGCTCCCTGTGGCCTCCCTTCCCAACCTGACCCTCTCCTGCCTTCCCAGGCTTCTTACACCATATTGTGCTCCACTCACGCTATCATCCTGCTGTTTCTCAAAGACAATGCTCAGCACCCAGCTTCTGCCAGTGCCTTTGCCTTTGCTGTCCACCATGTCTCGAACTCTCTCCCTCCTTGTCTCCAAGTTCTGGCTTCCTTCCAGTCCCAGCTAAAGTCCTTTCTCAGTCCTGCTCAGACTTGTGTCTTTCCTCTGAGATTCTCCAGTTTATCTGGTCCAGAGTTTGTGCCTAGGTGTTTGCATCTTATTTCCCCTTCCCCAAGAGAATCCGTGAGCTACTAGAGGGCAGGGACCATTGCTTTTGCCTTTCTTTGTATCCCCAAGGGCTTAGGACAATGCCTGACACATAGTAGGCACTTCACAAATGCTCATAGACTCCACTAAACCAAATCAAAAGCCAAAAAAAGTCACAGCTAAATGTAAGCATGGCAGTCAAGTTCTCTGTGGAGAAGTAAGAGTAAGAAGACAGCAAAGATCCAGGCTCCATTCTCCCTTGGCCTTGTGGTCCAGGTCCCTGGAATTCTATTACCTCATAGACTACTTGGCCACTCCTGGGTCCCTCCCATCGTCTTTCTGTATATAAGGTCCATCTTGTCTCCATTAAGGTGCTTAGATTCTTAAACTCTAGCCAATAGCTCACTAACATTCAGACTCCTTAAGAGTCTGCCCAATATAAAGGATCTTCTAATAAACCTTGTCTTTGGCTGAAAGAAGGCTTAGGTCGAATTCTTGCGGACGGCACCCGCGTGTTCTGATTTTGGGGCCCCAGCACCTGTAAACCTCATCACTGGTGCCCCCTGGAAGCTACTGAGATTTATTGAGTAGGGGAGGTGACATCCATCCAGACCTGTGCTTTAGGAAATGTGCTTTGGACCAGAGGGACCTGAGACAGGTCAGGTAAAAGGTGACAAGGGCCTGAATTTTTGAGATTTGCAGGTCATGGGAAATGTAGCATCAATCTGGCAGCAGACTCATCTCTCAGCCTCTTCTCCTTCACCCACTGTGACCTCTCTTCTTGGACGCTCTCTCCCAGCTCTCCTCTCCTTATCAGTCTTTTTGGCTGGCTCTTTGTCTAGGCCACACCCATAGTGGGGGTGTCTCCTAAGGCTCTAGGCCAATCTCTTCTGTCCCAACTAAAGGTCTCCCTTGTAATCTCCTCACTTCTCCATGTCCACTGTCATCTCTATGCATATGATTCTCAGATCTATTTCTCTACCCTTGACCCCTCTCTCGATGCCCAGTCTTACATCACCTACTGCCTATTCTATTTCAAACTGGATGTCCCAGTTTGGAAACTGGGAATATTAAAATCAACATGTCCAAAACAATAGTAGTTAACATATGTAAAACGTGTGTGTGTGTGTGTGTGTGTGTGTGTGTGTGTGTGTGTGTGTGTGTTAGGCACTGTGCTAAGTACTTTCCCAATACTATCTCGTTAGAATCTCACAACAGCCCTGAGAGGTAGGTACTATTATTATCCTTATTTTACAGCTAGGAAACAGAGGCAGACAAAGGTTAAGTGACTTGCCCAAGGTCACCCAGCTAGGAAGTATCTGAGTCCAAATTTTACCTTCTTGATCTAGGCCCACCGCTCTATCCACCTCATCACAAGGCTGCCTAAAATGGAACTCATTCTTGCCCTCCAAAATGCTCCCTTCTGAACGGAATTAGGGTACCGTCACCCTCCCAGTCCCCCAGGCTCACAACCTGTCACTCTGATGCCTTACTTGCATTTACACGCTGTTAACACATCCGAGCAGTTGCCAGATCCTGGCATTCCAACTTTTTCTCTTGCATACATACCCCCTTCTCTCTCTGATACTATCACCATCCCCCACCCCATCACCTCAAGCCTGGCCTACTGCGATTACTGCTGGGGGTGGGGGTGCCTACCTGTCTCAAGCGTCTCCCTGCTCCAGTCCATCCACTCAGCTGTCAAACTTCATGTCCAAGGGCCCCTTACTATCTCTAGAATCAAACAGGAAGTCGCGTTTGGCTGGTAAAGCCCTCCATAGCCTGGACTCCCCAAATCCGGTTGGGTGAGCCTTCTTATTCCTCCTCCCTCACGTGGCTCCATCTGGCATCCTCCAGGCTTTTGTCCCTGGCTGTCCCTCCCACACACCTGGAAAGCTTCCCTCCTCCCTTCTGCCTCCCTTCACGACTCAGCTCAGGTACCGCCTCTGACAGGTCTTTCCCAGGTGCTCTCCTCCGATCCCTCTAGTACTTTCTCTTAAGAGATTACCTCCCATTTATACTGTATATATCTTCTAAAAAATTATTTGATTTTTACATTGCCATCATTACCCCAGTATCCCTCCCCTCTCTTCCTCCTAATCATCCCATATAATTTTTTTTTAAAGGGACAAAAATAAGCACACCAGACCAGCACATGAAAATACACACTCCGACCTCAGACATCCCCCGTGTAGCACGCCACCTGTGGGGGCCTCCCGCCTCTGCAGAGGATGGGGGAGGAACATCTCACTCCCACACTCCCTCTTGGTTGCTGGTTCTCTCCACGTAATGTTGTAGTGACTGTGGACAGCTTTTTTGGTTCTGCTAACTTAGCTGCCTCAGTGTATGTCGATCTGTCCACATTTCTCCGTAACCATCACAGTCAACATTTCTTAAAGCCCGGTAAAAGCGAGTTCAAATCCAGCCTCACACCCTGAACAAGTCACTCGGAACCTCAGGCTCAGTTTCCCTAAATGGAAAATAATTTTGTCTACAGCAACCCTGTGAGGATCACACAGGATCTTTGTAAACCACAGTGCTTTGCACACAGTAGGCACTTAATAAACATTTATTCCCAGTACATTCATGTGCTATGGTTGATTTCGTTGTTCCCCAGTCAATGGGCACCTGTTTCCAATTCTTTGCTATCACAAAGGATGGCTGCTATATTTGGGGGCCTTTCTTCTTACCCACAGCCTCCTTGAGATAAACACTTAGTAATGGAAACTTTGGGTCCAAAGGATTTGGACAGCAGTCACTTTATTTGCATAAACCCAAATTGCTTTCCAAACTGGTTGTGTTCATTCATAGCGCCGTCGACAGTGCCCCATCCAACACTGACTAGTCCCATCTTCTGTCATGTTTGCCAGTTTGGGGGGCATTCAGAGTTGCTTTAATTTGCATTTCTGCTCCATGAGTGATCAGATGAAGTGAGGGAGGAAGGAGGAACAAGACAACAGTTTGTGAGAGGCTGGACTGTGGGATGGACGAGTGGGGAATAGTAAATCAGTTTGGAGAGATGGGCTGGGGCCAGACCGGGAAATAATGAATGATAAACAAAATGGCAGCCCTACTGACCTGGTCAGACCTGTGCTCTGGGAACCTCCATTGAGAGGCCCTGTGGAGGAAGAAGGGAGACCAAGGAGAAGGCCAGGACTTGGCCCAAAGCGGTTGGGAGCATAAACGGGACAGGACAAAGGGAGAGCGGAAGAGGCCAATAACTGGGCAAAGGGAGGAAGGAGTGGAGGCTGACAGCCAAGCTGCACACGTGAGTGTCTGGAAGATGGTTCACAGAATAATCAAGAGTCCAAAAGGACCTCGGAGGACCAACATAGAGACTATTAAACAGACCTCAGTTTAAACAAGGAGGAGAATATCGGGGGCTGTGGGAGAGAGGTGAGGGAGGCTGTTTCCCCTCCTCAGCCATCCTGTCCCTGAACGCCACATCAGGTCACGGGATATTAACTGTGAGAAGACAATGTCAGATCTGCTGCTTGTTGGCTCGTGTGTCCAAGGACCTGGAGGCGAGGTCCACCTCCGCCACTTACAGCCTTGGCGATTTTAAGAAGGCGATTAAGGGCCCTCTTTTCAGCCTTCAGTCCTGACCAGTAGTACAGGAGAGCTCACGACCGAACTAGGAGGGGTAGCCACCACCTTTCCAAAGAAGTCTGATTAAAAAGTCCTGCCCTGGCGGCCTGGGAAACCAGGGAACTCTTTTCTGCCACCCTTCCCCAGTCTGTACCCACTCCCACTCCATCTCAGTGCAGGTGATGACATAAGAATAAGGACAGCTTGCATTTCTGTAGCACTTTAATGTTTACAAAATGCTCTCTTCACAACAACCTTGTGAGGTAGGTACTGCAAGAAATGTCCTCATTTAATACAGGAAGAAAGTAAGGAGAGATTGGGTGATTTGCTGAAAGCTACAGTTAAGAGAGGCGGAGCTGGGGCTCCAAGTCCATCAGAACCACGTGCCCTATTCCAGTGTCCGAGTGCTCAGTTACCCAGATCCCCCACCCAAGGCCTTCATTCAACACAGCCTTTAAAGGTCTAGACAACGGCAATAAAGATTAAATACCGCCAAATCCTAAAAAAAGGGAAAAAACGGTTCATGTTGACTTTGGTGACCCTTCCATATTTTTCAAAACCGAGACATTTTATTTTTTACAAAACTTTTTTATTTAAAAAAAAAAAGCCAAACAAAGGTTCTATTTCTAAAGTGACACATTTATCCGGTGACTTTCCCAAGGCCCTCCACTCCAGGACCCATCCTGGAGTGACCTGGCAGCCGGGCCTTTAAGGTAAAATGTGGGGTCCCCCAGCATCCCTGCCCAACTACTCTGTGCCACCTGGGACCTCCCCCACCCTCTAACAACCAAGCAAACAAACCCAGGCTGGGAAACAATTCTCAGTCTCCACACGGCTTGGAAACAGTCAGCCTTCTAACAGGCACTTTGCATTGTGGCCTTGCAAAGAGTAAACGATAACATTTTAAAATATCATTTTGGCTCCAGCTCAGGAGTTTGTCAACAGAGAAAGCCTGTGGCTCTGCTTCCCCCAAACAGCCACAGAGTCAGAACTGCATCTCCGGCCCATGGAATCATCTGACAGTGATTCTGGGCTGTGCCTGAGCCATGCTAAGCCACCCCTTTGTAAACCCGGACAATCAAATGATCAAGGTCAACGGTCTGGACAACTCACAAACTCAAAGGCAGCATCCTTTAGACATTCAATCCAAGGCAGGCAGGTGAGAAGGCAGAGGGTGAGAGCTGCTCAGGAAGCCGCCTTACGTCTGAAGAGGCATTTGATACCCAGGGGCTTTCTTGTAGTTCATAAAATGCATGTGAAAGTCTACAAGGATGGACACAGCGATCTGCTGCACGTGGGGCTCTGCCTGCATGTGGTCCCGGATATCCTGCAAGAGCTGCAGTCCACCCTCCTCGATGAGCATTCTGCAGTACTTGGTAGCTAGAGAAGCAAACAGAGAAACGACAGTCAGGCAAGGAAGTCACATGCAGCATGTCCCAAGCTGCCCCACTTGCTCGGTACTCAAGGATATAGTTGGCGCTTGCTTATTACTTCCTCACTCAGACTGCTATCAACTCAACTCCCTATTCCCCATTTCTTGGTCTCTTCTATGCCTACTATAGTCATTCTCATTGGTGGAGGGAACACACTCTGGCCCCAACCGATCTCTGACCTCTCTAGTGTCCCGGTGCATCACTTCACTCTCCCTCGAGCACTCTTGGATGGAGCCAAACTGCCCTTCTCTAGGTTCCTCTCTCCATTCCTTTGCACCACACGGCACCCCCCACCTGACCTACACCTGAGTCTCTTTCTCTTGCTTTAAGATGCAGCTCAAGTGTCTTCTGCATGAAGCCTTCCCTGACACCCCCAAACCACGGGGACTTTAAGTCCTTTGTATTAACTTCCTATTTATGCTGGGTACATTTACAAGTCAGCCACCCTGCCAGCCACTAGAATGTAAACTCTTTTCCAGTAGGGATTGTTTCTTCCTCTGTACATGTATCCTCAGCAACTCGTACCAGGCCCAATACACAGAAAGCACTTAGTCAATGTGTTTTTGCTTTCATCTTTTAAAAATAGAAGTCAAGCCCTCATCACCTCTCACTCTGACTACTGCAATTATCTAGTTCATCCCACATGGGGCTGCTAACCTCTATTCCTACAACACAGCTTTGACCACATCATACCCCTCTGCTCACTGCACCCTGCTGTCTTGATCTGCCCCCTTTGGCCTGGCATCCAATGCCCCCCACAACCTGATGTCACCCGTTCCCAAGCTTGCTGCATACCAATACCTTCAGGCAAGACAAGTTCCACCTGGCCTTGTCTGCTACTTTGTTCCCAACACTCACCTGCCCCATTTCCCCCCTTCTACGCCCCGTGTCTCTGTGTAAAGGCTCTCTCCCTTCACGTCTAGCATGAAGCCCTTCCTGAGCCCAGACACTTTCCCTTCCTCCACACCCACCTAAGCACAAAGGTAAGTAAGCAAAAATGTTGCATCCTGATGGTCACCCCCAGCAGAATGCAACATCCCTACAGACAGGACCTATTTTATTTTTGTCTTTGAATCTGAGAATAGCCCATAGTAGGCATCTAATAAAATGAAAAATCAGCAAAAATCCACTTAGCCATTCCCATTTCCCAAGTTGTTGAGTATTCCAGCATACAGTCAGTTTTGGCCTGGTTCTCTTATTTGCTAAGCTGAATTGAAGGTAGAAAACTTTCTAAAGAGATTCTATTATCTAGATATCAGGAAAGATAAGAGGCAAATCTCATCAGCTTCTCTCTCACCTGCTCCCCCCTCCAAAGTTTAAAGGGGTATCAGGGCTGCAAGCATCACCCTAGGCATATGGTTTATGAAGCCCACCCAAGTACGTACGATTCTTGCTGCAGACATGGTGCATGGCCCACAGCGCCCAGAGCTGAACCTCAAAAAGCGTGAAGTTGCTAAGTAATGGAAAAAAGGATTTGAAGGACCTGTGGATTCCAAAGGAAGACATTTAGAAATCAGGCCAACATTTGGTGATTTTACAATCATTTGCATGCCTATAATGTTTAACTCTCACAAAGTGTGTTTTATGTACAAGAACTTGATGGTTGATGATCACCATCACAGCTGAGATGGAAAAGCCAAAGGTGAAAAGTGCTGCAATGAGCTCCTTTGTGTCATGGGGCCAGTGACAAGCCCTGGGTCCAAAGTCCTAGCTAGGCTCATGCCGAGCATACGCTGGGAACACCATGGAAAATGGAGGCTAATGTTCTGAGGTATAAATGCAGCCCCCCATCACCTGTAAGTCACCAGCGCCACCATCTTACAGCTCGGACTGGGCCACTTCAGCACCGTCATGTACTGCAAGAGACAAGAACAAGCGGGGGTCAGCCATTGCAGCCTCACAGGGCACAGCTGCCCAGGCCCGCTGGGTCACAAGGGAGGCTTCCCTACCAGGTCATCCAGCAGAGCGCTCCTCTGGGTGCTGCTCAGGGTCCATGCCTGCTCCCCCAAAGAGGTGAGATGGGAAATGATTCCAGCTGCAAAGTAGCTCACTTCCATCTCCACACTGTGAAGTAACCGGCTCACGTGGGTCATCAAGCTGCTCACCATCAGCTCACAGGATAATTCTTTGACTTCAGCGACATTGTTCTGCAGGCAAAGCAGACCCACAGAGCTTGGAAACAGTGAAGGAGCAAGGGCAATTATGAGCTGCTTGATTTTCCTCATTCCACGGACTGGACTTCTACTACTTTATTAAATCAGGCCTCATCAAATGGGTTGGAATGAATGGCCACTCAGATCCTTTCCAACTCTCAAATTCTGGGACTCCTTGAAATTTCAGGGTGGAGGGGGCAGCTAGGTGGCACAGTGGCTAAAGCGCCGGCCCTGGATTGAGGGGGACCTGAGTTCAAATCCGGCTTCAGACACATAACACTTACTAGCTGTGTGACCCTGGGCAAGTCACTGAACTCCACTGTCTAGCCAAAAAAAAAAAATTCAGGGTGGAAAGGGATCTCAGAGGGCCAACATCTCCATGTGGTTACATAGTCTGTTTGGAAACCTCACTACCCTCCTGTGACTACCAATTTACTTCTGGACAGCTGTAATTTCTTCGGAATTTTTTCCTAATACAATCCTACTCCTTGCTTGGACTGGTTATGGCATTCTTTTTTTTTTTTTTTAGGCAACTGGGGTTAAGTGACTTGCCCAGGGTCACACAGCTAGTAAGTGTCAAGTGTTTGGTCTGAGGCCAGATTTGAACTCAGGTCTTCCTGACTTTAGGGCCAGTGCTCTATCCACTGTGCCACCTAGCTGCTCCCCTGGTTATGGGATTGTTGCAGCACCTAAAGAGACCATTTATTCTAACCCTCTCATTTTATTTTTATTAATTTATTTTTAGTTTTCAACATTCACTTTTATAAGATTTTGAGTTCCAAATTTCCCCCCTTCTCTCCAAGATGCCATGCAATCTGATATAAGTCATACATGTACAATCATAGTAAACATATTTCCACATTAGTCATGTTGTAGAAGAAGACTCAGAATAAAAGGGAAAAATCACAAGAAAGAAAAAAAAAGAAAATATTATGCTTCGATCTGCATTCAGACTCCATAGTTCTTCCTCTGGATGTGGATAACATTTTCCAACACGAGTCTTTTGGAATTGCCTTAGATCATTGCATTGCTGAGAAGAACTAACTCTATCAAAGCTGGTCACTGCAGAGTGTTGCTGTTACTGTGTACAATGTCCTCCTGGTTCTGCTCACTTCACTTGGCATCAGACCATACAAGTCTCCAGGCTTTTCTGAAGTCCACCTGCTCATCATTTCTTAGGGAACAACAGTATTCCATTACATTCACATATCACATCTTGTTCAGCCATTCCCCAATTGATGTAACCCTCTCATTTTACAGATGACAAACTGAGACACAGAGGCAGGAACTTGTTCAAGAGTACCCCAGTACTAAGCATCAGATCTGCCATTAGAACCCAAGAGTACACACAAGTTCCTTACCACAGGCACCGAGCTATTTACTGTGCACCTATATTAAACATGGAGTTCACAGATTAATGTTCACTATAGCTCCCTAGCTACCCTAGAGTCTTGTTATTACAAAGGCTGGTGGGCTAAGTGGCCATGGTCCTCCTGAGAACTCCTCCAAAGATCATTCTGCCAATGACTCTCGCATTCTCAGTATTTACAAGACAGAGAAGCCCAAAATGGCTATAAGGTCATCTGGGGGCTCCTCCTATCAGCCTCAAATGTGGACTGGGCCAACTCAGGACCATCTCTCCCAGCAGCACTTCCAGCGGCTCTTTGACTATCCTTCCATTTGGCCCCAGAAGAAAAAATCAGGAGCAATATGGAGACGTTTCCAAGAGGACAATTAAAGGTCAACATCAGGAAAAACTTCCTAAGGAGAAGAGCTACAGGAGATGGTGGATGACCACTCACTGGGTTTGGCCACACAAGTTCTTTTCATCTCTAAGATCTTGATTTGAATCTGAAGGCAAGGACCCCAGAGGATTACACACAGTTTCTCTGATATTAACCCAGCCCAAGGTGACATAAAACAGCAAACTGTTAAGAACTAGAGATGGGTCACATGAATACTTGACATTACAGGAAAGGGCAGGGAGAAGGAATACACATTGTTAGAGCCAGCTGCAGGTCTCCTTTTTTTTCTCATCTATGAAAATGCTGGAATGGCAAGGGACCATGACTTTCCCTCACAAGAAAGAAGGCTCAAATCACTCAAAGCATCCGTGAGTCAGCCAGGAAGCATTTATTAAGCACTTACATGACAGGCACTCTACTAAGTGCTAGGAACACAAAGAAAGACAAAAACATGGCACCTGCCCTCTAGGAGCTCCATTCTAATAGGGAAGAGAACTTGTAAATGAATGGGAAGGAAGGAAAGAAGCATTTGTTAAATACCTGTTATGTGCCAGGTACTATGCTAAGAACTTTACAGATATCTCATCTGAACCTCACAATAACCCTGAGAGACAAGGTCACTCAGTTAATACTGGAACCAGGAACAGGAGAACTTGGTTCTTCTGACCCCTGGTTTAAAGTGCCCACCATATATAGCATCATATCCACGAACTTGGCCTTCTTCTGTAGGTCACAGCTCAGTGCCCAACACTGCTAAAGAACCCTTGCTCATTCAGAATCCCTCAGATACAGGTGCTGGAGTAACCGATGAAATGCCAGGGAAAAGCAATTCATGACCTTCTCCAGAGAGAGATTCCAGTTCCTCTAAACACTTGGTTCCAACATCAATAATGCCGCTGCTAGCTCCTAATTCTACAGTTTTTCAGTTTAAAAAGCCCTTTGAAGACAGCACAACTACGATTATCCCCACTTTACAGATGTAGAAAAGGAGGTACTTGGCCCAAGGCATCTGAGTCATCAAATCCAAGTTTCCTGAGTCATCAAATCCAAGTTTCCTGAGTCTATGTCATTCTTCCTTTTTCAGAATAAGATGATGCTCAAAGAGCCCACAAAGGCTGTCCAGTCTAACTTGCCCCTAATTCCTATATAAGAACTGCTGCTCTAAGTGGTCATTCAGCCTTTCCTATAAGACCATGATGATGCAATAGAAGAGGTTTTAGATTCTGAGTCAGAGAACTTGTGCTCAGATACCAGCTCTGCTACTGACCACAGGGGTGACCTTGGGCAAGTCACTTCACTAATGTGGGCCTTAATCTCCCCACCTGTAAAGTGAAGGTATTGGACAAGATTACCTTGAAAATCCCTTCCAACTCCACATCAATGATCCCATGGCCTCCTAAGGGAGCTCACTCTACTCCAGACAACTCTAATTGTTGGGTAGTTTCTCCTCATATCAAACCTGAAATGTCTCTTTGGACTTCAGCCAAGGGATAACCAAGTTGGCCACCAAGGCCAGCTCTATCCATTAGACCCAACTTGGACCTTGGGGAAATGGGAAGAATCTACAAAAAATCCAACAAAAATTCCAAGTATCCAGAAAGGTAGGAGCAGGAGAAACCCAGAGGTAGGAGGGAGTCCTCTACTGCACAGATGGAGGCAGAACAGAGGACTCGATGCCAGCTGGCAGCAGCAACACCAGGGTAAGGACAGGATCCTATCCAAGAGCATCCCCGACATAAACTCCAACTCTTGACCACCTTGCAGCCTCCATACTCCTTTATCTCAGGTGCTCTTCTTGCTATCACCTGAACAGGTGCTGCATTTTCCTGAGGCCTCACTTACAATTTTCCTCCCCATGAAATGCCGTCCCTTCCTGTTGCCACCTAGATGAAACTGCTAGAATCTTAAGCATGACTTAACAAGGCCTAACTCAAATGCTCTTTTTGCCATCAAATCTTCCTCAATTCTTGCTCCCATCCCTCATCTGCCCTCATCGGATTTTGCTCATTGTCTTCTTGGGCACTAATAAACAGATTCCACACACAAGGCCTTACCGCTTTGGCAGGAATAGCCAGAGGCTGTGTTCCACTGGCACAACCTTGGAGAACCCTGGAGGTCACCTCCACACTATGGTCAAGCATTGGAAGAAGGCTTCAGTGGAGGATATAAGATATATGTAGGAAATTAGGTAGCCATATCATTCTAAAAACTGTGCCCTTAGTGGTGGGGAAAGATGCTGAGAATTATTAACCTAACTTCAGGTTTTAACTGAGTCTCCTAAAGTGTCCTTTTTATAGCCCATCTTTCCACACAACTCCCCTGTGCTATGAGGCAGGTCAGGGAAATGGGATGACTTCCATCTTGTAGAGGAGACTGAGGCTCAACAAAGCTGAGGGGCTTGCCCAGGGTCACTCAGCCAAGAAGGATCACCACTGGGACATTCAGCCAATACATACACAGAGCATTTTCCCCTAGATATAGGTTTCTCACATTTTGGTTTAGTAATTTTAATGAAAGATTTCTCAAATATGATTCACATTAATTGGAAGAAGCAGCCATAACTAACTCCATCAAATTAATACGCATCTTACCAAAAGGCCAAGAACTCTGGTTTGTATCGTTGATTCTGATGGGAAAGTCTGTCAAAAGAAATACCTTGAGGTCAGTAATGTCATCAAGAAGACTGGAACTCCAAGTAAAGCCCACCCTCTCCGGTACCTCCAAGACTTGTACAAAGATGGCCAACCCATGGTTCTCAACAAAGTGCTTGCAGGTGGCTGGGGACTCATCTGTGAGGTTCCATAGTGCTCTCAGAGTAAACGTGAGTGTAATATCTTCTAAATTCTCAGAGGTTTTCTGTTTCACTATTGCTAAGAGTTCCTAAAAAAGCAAAAAGAAGAATCTCATGTTTTGACAACTCAAATTGTCACAAAACCTGACTTCAGAGACACCACCTGCTCCCTGTCTTAACAGAAGTCTACCAAATATTTCATTAGTTTAGACAATTTCTGGAAGCAATTAATGCCAACTTCAGATCTTATTTGAAGGTGTATTAGTTATCGATTCAGTCTGACGGAGTGTAGAGATAAACTTAATATTTTATCTACTAATGAGAAGATACCCTTCATTGTTTTTATATATCAAATTCTACCACAACACTCTGGGTCAGAAAAGATCACACATACACTGGCCTAATCCATAGTCTTTTAGGGATCTCCACTTGAGAAAATCAGATTTATACAGAAGAAATAAGGAATATGACAATATCTAATCAAGGCCTAAATGATTTGGGATTACTTCAGAGAAGGAAAGAGAATGAGATCTCATAAAGAAGCTCATTAATTCAGGATACTTCGGACAGAAATTCTAAGCCTTTAACAAATCAACACATCTTAAGACTTCTCATCCTCAGATGTTTCTGAAGTTGCCCATTCGTATTCTAAGCTTCAATTATGTATTAATATCATTACACCAGCTTATTGCCCTTTTGATTGCAAGAATGAAGCTGGATCAGGAGGCCGACACAGACTTTGATCAATCATCAAACTGATGACTGATCAATCAAACTGATCGATAAATCCTGACTGAGTGCCTACTATGGACTAGGGCTAAGGGGTCCTACAAAGAAGACACAGTGTCTTCCTTCAAGGCTATAAAGAGATCTGTGATATCAGCATAGATGCAGCTTACAATCTGTCCAGCACTGAAGAGGTCACTATGGCCAAACACACTCCATGCCTGACAGTCCTTCCCCTAATGGAGAGGCTGCCTGGTGTTAGCCAGCCTTGTTCTCATAACCTCCAAAATCCTGGTACTAGCAAAGATGGTGAGACCTAGGGTCATGCCTGCAGCGTTGAGGCACTGGAGAAAAGCCAGCAGTGCAGGCTGGTACTCACCATTATTTGGTCACAAAATAAATGCAAAGTTAGCAGCTTAATTCTTCAGATAAATGAGCTTACCACAGCAAACCTTATAATCCGTAAATGGTCATATATATGGCACAAGGAAAACTCAAAACAAGTAAGGAAGTTGTCAACTCACCCTGACAACAATGAAAAGTTCTGCCTTCAGCTGAGCTGTCTGTTCAGGAGAGAGCTGTGAGCACAGAAGGGAGAAGTGATTATCTGCATTCCATCAAAATTTGGGAGAGACAGAAACCTGGGCCAGTTAAGCATAATCTCCTACCTGAAGGGCCAGAATGGAGATGACGCTCACTGCCATTGTCTGCATATTTGGGTTTTCATGCTTACAGAGCCATTTCATAACAAACTTGGCAGCATCAAACCTGAAAAAATAAATTCTGACTTTTCTAATTCCCTAAGTCACATTCACATTGTTGGGGAACGGGAGAATAGACATGATTACTACCCACAATCAGAAACAAATCCCCAAACTCCAAGCCCTAGCTCTGAAAATAAGAGTGGCATTAAGGCTCAAGGGGAAAATAGTCATTTAAGGTCTGGTATTTTTTGGTGCTTTTTTTTTCTTTTCAGCAAACATTAAAAATAATTCTTCCAGACTAATCATCAAACTGTGGGATTGGGATAGCACCCACAGGCTGGAATGAGGACTTCTAGTAAGAACAAAGAAAATTCTCACACACACACACACACACACACACACACGCATCTCAGAAGAAAACAGACAACTTAGCCCCCAGAAATCAGTGAGATTGCCAAGTACCCCAGACAGGCTTACTGAATTTGACACTTGCCTGTTAAATGGGACATCCTGAAGAATTCTGGCATTGGTCAAGGAGAGAAGACAATTCTTCTGTAGCTTTTCAGGAATCAAGAAAAGTAACTTTAGACAGAGAAGTCATTTCAGATCATACAAAGTTTTAACCATTCAACTCCAGTTCTGTTCCTCAGCTATAAGCATCATGACACCTGAGGTCTACGATAAGCAAGGCCTCTGGGGACTTCAGTAACTAAATCCCTCTGTGGAGGGTCCAAGACAGACAGCTCTGAGACCAATCAGTCTCTGCAGACTGCACTGCAGCCAGCGGCCCCGCTCTCACCATTATCTTACACAGAGTTCTGATGGTTTACTCAACTGCCCAAGACTGTAACGCCGATAACCAAAGAACTCCAAAGGGTTGGACTCTGGGCTAACCCGAGGGCAGTTTTACACATAAAAGTGCTGCCACTGATGGCTACACTCTCTCTCTCCCTCTCATCTACCTACCTTTCTATGTAACAGAAATAAGCTACACATATGAATGAGTCTAATTAAGGAATTAAGAATGCTCTGGCAAGGCGGGGTATTGTTTCTCTGTACTGGTAACTATGCATTTCACACTAAGAACCTATTTTCTTGCAGGACACTGAGCTACCCAGCACTGTGAGGGGACAGGAAACTGAAGGCCTGGTCCCAGCTCAGAATCTCACTGGAGAGATGAGGCATACAGGCATCAACATTAACATAAAGAACGCATCTATGTGTGAAATAAAGGGCAAAGGAAGTGCTATGAGAGACCAGAGGAGGATGAGAGGTGGTCAGGGAAGGCTTCAAAGAGAATGAGACATAAACTGGGCCTCGAGGCCTGGGAAGTATTCAGACAGGCAGAGAAAAAGCTGACCAGCCTCAGATGGAGAGAAGGACAACAGAAGGAAGGGGCACTGGAACGTGCAGGGCGCAGATACACGCGAACCAGCCTGTCTTTCTGCATATCAGTGGAGTCCGTTTTATCAGCGAGGTCGGGGGAGAACATCAGGCTCTACTCAAACAGATGTTCTTCCTTAATTGACAACAAGGTTTCCCTCGATCAATCAACAAAGCAGAACAAGGGACTGGCCAGAGAAGTTAACAGTTCCTGCCACTGCTCCTTCTCCCCACTCTGAAGAGTAAGGTCAAACAGTCAATTCAAACCACCTGCTCTGCCGTCCTGGAAATCCATGAATTATGCACAAGAGTGACAACAGCGCCCATGCCAAGGCCAGGCAGCTACTCAAGGAGGTCAGTGACATAAAGAAAGGTTCCACATATGCCCAAATATTTATCATTTAAATTACCTGCTGGTTATTAGGGAAATTTTTTAGGGCCTTGAGAAGTAAATGGATGACCTCTGACAACAAGCGAACAGGCATACCCATGGCCAGACCCTGCCGGGTTAAATTGAGGGTGCATGCGCTGGCTGTGAACTGTACGGGCAAGTCCAGGGGGTGATTCCTCATTCCTACAGCCACAAGCTAAAGATGAAGGAAAAAAAGAAAAGTTACTACAAGATGATTGTTAAAACAATGTTCCCTTTTTCTACCCTGATGTCAAATAGAAAGGCTATTTAAACACAAGGTATTTTGCGCAGCAAGGAGCCAGTTGCAGTAGATAGAATGCAGGGCTTGGAGTCAGGAAGACTCATCTTCCTGACTTCAAATCTGGCCTCAGACACTTAACTAGTGTGTGACCCTAGTCACTTAACCCTGTTTGCCTCAATTTCCTCATCTGTAAAATGAGCTGAAGAAGGAAACGGTAAACCACTCCCATAACTTTGCCAAGAAAACCCAAACAGGGTCACAAAGAGTCAGACACAACTGAAAAACAACTGACCAGTATTTAGGAGTTTTCCTGTTTTGTGAAAGCACTTTAAAGAGATTGTATAGTATGCCAGAAAAGTATCCTGGACCAGGAATATGAAAACCCGGCTTTGTATCCTGGCTCCACTGCTAAGTTAGTGAGACCGGCAGGCGAGCCACCCCCTTCTCTGGTCTTCAGTTTCCTCTCTGGCAGGTAAGGGGTTGCCTGTGATGACCTTGAAGGTGCTTCCCGGCTCTGACATTCTCTGTCTGAAGGTCTCTTCCAGTGCTAATGTTCTATGTCAGGAGAACCAGCGTGGGTAATAGGAAGAACTCAGCACTCAGAGTCAGGACCCTTGGGCAGTTTCTAAGCCCTAGCTCCTTCCTCTGTAAAATGAGGGGGCTTGAACCTGGTGAATTCTAAGGTCCCTCCCCTCTAGTGCTCATCTTTTATGTTTCTCTGATTCAAATATGGCAAAAAGTGGCAACAACTGTCTAGATCCCAGGAGGCTTAAAGCTGATCATGTGATTTTCAGGCATGTGTAGAGACCACGCCCCAGTTCACTTATGTTGTTTCTCATCTATTTTTGAAAAATTATTATAAACACATGAAAAAACATCATCAATACCACCACAAACTCATTTCATAACTATCAGCCCTTGCACAAATGGCCTTCGAGACAGAGAAGAGCGGCCCTGGCCAGATATTCCACAGCTCCACCCATTCTTCCCATTCTCTTGGGAGGCAGACTCACTGAGGACCACATGCTGCCTCTGTCATGTCTGGCTGTGTGACCATGAGCTTCGGTTCCCTCATCTGTAAAAAGGGAGGAGCAACAGCCACAACATTCACCTTAGAAGGTTTTTGTAAGGATCACATGGCACGTTAATTTGAAGGGGCTTTGCCAATTCTAAAGCCCTGTGCACAAATGAGTCATTTTCACATGGCCAAAGTCTAGAACCGTTGCTCTGGCTCTCATCCAAAAGGATTCTACTAGTCTACAACTCCACCGTCAATGAATGCATCTGTTTCTTCACAACTCTTGAAGAACTGAGTTTCCTTAATTATTTCTGCCAGTTTGAGGGGGTACCTCAGGGTTGTTTTAATTTGCACTCTGTTAATTAGGTGAATAAAATGTTTTCAAGTGATTATCAAATGGGTGTCTCTCTCAAAAATTATCCAGTCACAGACTTTGACCATTCACGTGAAGTGGCAATTACCGTTATAAATGTCTAACACTTCTTCACGGATGCTTTGATCTTACTTTTCCCAATCTATTATTTATCTTTTCATTATTTTTACTGTACATTAATGAAATCAATCACATCTATTTCATACCCCTTTTCTATTTAAGAGGAAAAAGCCCTGTTACTGTCCCATATTAGCACATTTTCTTCCATATTTTTAAAATAAATTTTTTTTTTTGTGACTAGGCAATGGGGTTAAGTGACTAGCCCAGGGTCACACAGCTAGTAAGTGTTAGGTGTCTGAGGCCAGATTTGAACTCAGATCCTCCTGAATCCAGGGCCAGTGCTCTATCCACTGCACCACTTAGCTGCCCCTAAAATAGATTTTTTTTAAAAAAAGTCTAACACTACTATCCCACTGCAATTCACTGAGGTATCTGGCATAAGAGATGGGCCTAAACTGCTGACCCATTTTCTTGGACACATTTTGAATGCCACGAATCCTTTCCCCAATTTTTGTTTCCTATCAGCTTAACAAGCATACGTTTTTTAGAGTTAAGCCTCTCTTCAATCACATGGATCTGTTTCTCTGGGTTTTTCCCTGGTACCAGCTAACATTAATGGCAACCACCTGGTAACAGTTCAAAGCCTGGGACTGCAAGACCAGGTTTCTGCATGAACCCCTCTCCCCCATACACACACACGTACCTCTTGTTATTCTTGCCCATTTAAAAAAAAATACATTTCATTATTATTTACATAGTTCTATCTCTGAACAGTGGAGACTCCTGCCACTTGCTAGCTACTCCTCTATTTCAAACAAGTCCCACCCCTGTCCCCATCCCTGCCCCCCCCAATATCCACTAACTAGCTATGTGACTTTGGATATGTCACAATCTCCTCATCTGAACAAACAAGGGAGAATACACGTACTGCATTGGATTATTTAGGGCTGTGGTGTCAAATTCAAAACAGAAACAAGGCCACTAAACTACTGAACTATGCATGTGGTTGTATATTGATTTAGAAAACCATATATTTTTTGGGGGAAAATAAAAGGGGTTAAGTGATCTGTCCAGGGTCACACAGCTAGTGAGTGTCTGAGGCCGCATTTGAACTCAGGTCCTCCTGTCTACTGTGTGTTCTGTCTACTGCGCCATGTAGCTGCCCCCCCCCCCAATTAAATTTTAAAGCACTGTGGGCAGTGTCTGACACCTCTGGTTTAGGGGATCAAATGAGAATGTACACAAAAATTGTTTGTTAAGCTTAAAACACTGTAATAAACGGAAGCAATCAGGGTTATTTCCTTCAGTCCTGGCAGTTTAATAACTGTCCTTTATGCTGGTCTTGAGTGTGTGTTAAGTCTCAAACAGTGGATCTTCATCTTAAATGAGGTGGGGGTTTTTGTTTTCTTTACTGCTAGGAAATAATGTAAACAACTTGGTGGGTTAATCTTGCATCTTTGATTGGACTGAACTCACTGTCTCTATTCTTTCTTGAGGGCTGAAGAGTTTTGTTATATCCTGTTATCTGAATGTTTTGACCTCTCCATTTCCAAAGCTAATTCCTCGAATACTTTATGACAATGGAAAGAATTTCAAATATAATGTCAAATATAAGTTGGGGAAGTGGGCACCCTCGTTTCAAACCTATTTTCAGTGGAAAGTTTTGGATATAAAGAGTGACAACAAGACGTAGTGGCTAGAGGGTGGCCTCAAAGGCAGGAAGCCTTGGCTTCAAGTCTTGCCCCTGGTACATGTCAGTAACTGTGTGACCCTGGGCACAGGTCATGTGACCAACCAGAGCGGGTGACTCAAGAAGAATGCAGCTGTAATGCTGGCCTGCACTGGTGGAAGGAACTGCTCACAGGAAGCTCCTCACAAGGAAAAACATCGCCCAGATTTAATTTGGAAAACTTCTAATGTTTCTCCCTCGCATCTTAAGTTGGTTCTTTGCGTAAGCTGCTTATTTTTCACTGTGAGGAAATCTTTCTCTTTTTTATTTTTTTTTTGTTTTCCTAATAAACATTTTATTAAAGAGTTTTCTTCTCTAGTATTTATATAATGATGCAGACTTTCTGGCTTATACATCTCATTATGATCTTAACAACTTTAAAACGGAAATAAAGACCCATTTATTTAACAAAGGTTCTTCCTGTGATCCAGTATAGTTGCAGCAAATCCACAGAAATACCTCAATCTCTTAAGAATTTTCTTTTTCTTTCTGGAAGTGCAGTAGCTGCTAAGAGGTCTGCTGTCCCTGCTGAGAGTCATGAGAGTTCTGGCCTGCTCTTTTTTCTGCCCTTGGGCCCATCTGCCCCTCCTTAGGAGGCCCGGTGGCCCCCTGTTCCTAGGGGCTCACCCTATCAGTGCCAGACAGAGTAGACACCCAATCAGCTTAGCATACTGCTGGGGCTCATGAGATGCACCAATCGGGCCTCCCTGGTTGCAGGGATCACAGGCCAGGGTCCACACACCTGGCATCATCTGAAGAATTAAAGTTAAGCATTACTCCAAAGACAACAATGAGGAGCAAAGCAGGGACAGTCCAGAAGTGGCAAGAGGATATCATCAGAAAGGTGAGTGAGCAGGTAAAAAGACTGGCCAGTCCCACAGAACCAGTGATGGAGAGGAGAGCCATCTATGTAATACCCAGAGCTAGGGAAAGGCTTCCAGCACTTTGGGTGGAAGGTGGACCCATTAGAGAACATTTATGGAAGGACACAAACAGGCTGAGATCTACATCATTCAGGGGAGGACTCACATTAATATGGTCACATACTCATATAAAGAGTTTCTTATACTAAAGCAGCTTTCCACACCTGGTGTAAACTCACTGAGGATTTACAAACCCTGTGAGATCAAGAGATTAAGAGATTTCCTATGGCACTTCTGGTCACAGTGATGATGGAACATGAACCCAGAATTGTGAGTGAGACAGTCCACGACCCAGGCTCTCTCCACTGGGCCACCTCCAAGACGATGGGTTGGGATCTACTCTTCTGTCTGTAAATAGTCTCGATAAATTGATTCTTCATTTTGGGACTTGGCCAAATGTAGCTGTTTAGATAATCCAGGTCAGGTGACTTTTTTTTTTTTCTAAGAGGCTAACTTTTTTTTAAAAAGAAAACCAACTAGTTTTATCAATTCAATTATTCTTTTATTTTCTACTTTTCAACTTTATTATCTCTTTTTAAGAATTTCTTCCTTTTTTCTTATTCTAATGCCTTATTTGGGTTGTGATCTTAATTCATTTCTTTTCTCCCTTTCTCTCCTATTAATGTAGGCATTTTTCATGATCTTTCCATATAAATTACCAGGGATCCTTGAAAAAATCATTTTATGTGTGCTATGGAGCCTGGATATCAGAGTCCTGAGAGATTCACAGTTCTGTGCACAGTCTTCTTTTGCTATTATATTTTACATATGGAAATGCTCATTTTATTTGGGTGTTAAATTCAGAATAAAACAAACATTTTTTGTTTTTGTTTTTACAAAATTCTTTGCTGATAATAATAACTAGAAAGAAATAACTTCAACATTTCACACTGTATATGAAGCTTAGGTCCTTAACTTGCATTCTGGAGCTCTAGAGATTCATAATAAAGCTGTTAGCTTTCACTTTCACTTCCATGCCAGCAGGGAATGCCTAAGAGTAAGTTCTCACCACCTGCTGAACTGAGATGAGGTGAGAGGGATAGGTCACAGATCTCATCTAATCCCACTTTCTCATTTTAACAAAGAGGATATTATGGCCAAGAGTTACACCCCTCCCCACTTTCAGTATTTTACTGTTCAATTTAAAAGTAACTAGGTTGTAGCTCCCTGAAGTCAAGAATCATGCCTTACTCATCTTTGCAGCCTGGAAAACCCTACTATAGGGTCTTACATAATGAGTCCCCAATGAAATGAAGCATTTGAATAAAAACGAAGGACATGCATTTATGGAAAATATAACAACCATCTTGACGTCATCATTGCCAACAATGTAGGGAGCCCCTACAGTGCTAAGGCAACGAGAATACAAAGTGGTTTAGGACACTCCTCGGCTTGAAGAAGGACCCCAAGTAATAGTCAAACCCAGTTTAGTTTTTACATTTTCATATTAAACATTTTCATTTCATCTCCATCATCCAACATAACCATTTACAAGACCACATACCCATCCTTCTTCCCTTTTACTTTTCCCTATTGCTAAGCTTGTGTTCCTCCATCCTGGTCTCAAATATACTGTGATTCTTTACAAACTAAGCCAAGATTTTCTCTTTAACACATACACAAAGACTGCTGATGGACAATCGAGTATAAGTTAAGAACCACATCCTGCTTGACTGAAGAACTGCTTCTGCACCAAGGTTACCCAAATGTCCACGGCCAAAAGTTCAGAAGCACCAGCTCCCTTTCAGACAGTGTTTTCCAGTTTACAAAGTGCTCTGTCTCCCAGGACTGTCCCAGAAACAACATCAAGCAGGCTGCACCATTGGCCTTCACAGATCTCCTCGTTTTACAGAAATTGAGAGCTGGGGAAATGAGGTAACTTAGGCAAAGTCCTACTTAGCCCAGGGTTTCTGAAGTCCCATACAGGGCAGTCCTCCCTACACTCCAGACGCCTCAAGTGTATACATTATTTGACACCCATGAGCCACGGTCAGCAGCCACAATGGCCTGCTTGCTCTTCTTCCCTCCCTGTGTCTCTCACCCCCCCTTTGGCAGAAAGGCTTCCCTGCAGGGTGATGCTATGCACCAGGGAGTGACAGCTCCTTAAAACCCTGAAGGCATCTTGTTAGCAGGCTTTACCATTTTCCCCCCTCTACACCATACACACTAGTGGGTGTGTACTATGATGATCATCACTAGGAAAACGAAGCCTCAATAGAAGCAGGCTGTTTTTCTCCATCTAGTGAGTATTTAAGTGCCCCCAGTGAACCAAACCCCCCACCGATTCCAGGTTTCTAATCCATGTCAGATGTCAGTTAAGTCTAAGGACTATTCTTTTCAGATCAGGTGCAGTGTTACCTTTAAAATAGCGGGCTTGGTTATTTGCATATAAAATGTCTGGGTGAAGAGGCGAATGAGGGCTTCCTTCATAAAGCACACTCTCTCACTGTATCTCCTCAGAGCTTCGGAAATCTGACTGACATTTGCCCCTCCTGCAACCTTAAAAACAAAAGGGCCAGAAGACGTGAGTTTTTCTTCTCTCGGCTTTACAGACTTTAAAAACTTCAAATTTAACTATGAAGTTACTTTAAAGATGACTCCTAGACTCACAGAAAGTAATCAAAGAGTACCTAAAAATATGAGAATGAAACTACTTAGAGGTACTGATACATTAACATTTTCATTCAACCTCCTTATTTTAAAGGTAAGGAAAATAAAAACTTTAGAAAACATTTCAACTGAATACTATTCAATAGCTATAATTGTAAGTTTTTAAAAAATGGCAAATATAAAAGAATGATACAAGGACAGATAAGGGAGAAAGAAAAGAAATCTGCTACCAAAAGGGCATTACAGAATAAACAGGCTAAAAAAAACCAAGACATGAACTTTTTGCTCTCTCATTGAATATCTCTCTAGTCCACAACAGGAACACTCTATTCCAATGGATAATTTTGAAAAGCTCTGTGGTTTCATCAGTGTTGGTATTTTGTCCACCGGTAAAGATTCAGTTTCTTCATCAGTTGTCAGGGCCAAGAAAATTTATCACATGAGGACATGAGTCATAAAGGCTGGTTCTGGTAAAACAGATGCACAGCCCATGGCTTGGTAGGCCCTGGGCTCAGCAGACATAGCCTTGAAGAACCCAATCACCTCCAAGCTACAAGGAATCATCCAAGGATGTTTAATGAAAAGTAACTCATAAAATGCAATGGTGAAAATGCCATTCAATAGGTAGTCCGCAAACTTAATTGGCAATGAGGTGGTAAAGTGGACCTAGTGCTGGATCTAGAGCCAGGAAGACCTGAATTCAAATCCAATCTCAGACAATTATTTGCTGTGTGACCTTGAGCAAGTCACCTGACCAGTCTGCCTCAGTTTCCTCATCCATAAACTCAGGGTAGTTGTGGGGACCAAATGAGATAATATTTGATTTAGTAAGTGCTTTGCAAACCGTAAAGCATCAGGTAAATGCTGGCAATTACTATCACCAGACTGTGAGCTCCCAGAGCAAGGATGGGTTTTTGCCTTTCTTTGTATCTCTAGAACTGAGCACAGGGCCTGGCACACAGCAGGTACTCCACAAAGGCTTGCTGACTGACTGGATTGGGAGGGAGAGTAAATGACAAGAGACGTGTGGCCACAAAACAGCTGATTACCCCACATTCCCCTCTTTCCTAACAGTGGTACCTAGCAGTCTCAGCACTCCTTTTTCTGAACAGCCTACAGAGCCGTCCACCTTCACAGGCCTCAGAAAAGCATGTCCTCAAACTGGACTGCGGGAGGGAAGTTCTTTGAAGGCAGAGATTACTTCATGGGATCCTAGCTCTAGGAGGCCAGCCGATCCAATCCCCTCATTTTACAGATGAAGACACTGAGTCCCAGAAAGGCAGTAAAGGACAGAGGCAGGATTTGAACCCAGATCTTTCCACTGTACCATGGTCCCAAGTGGGAGCCGATTTCCACACCTAATCACTCCCGGCCTTCCTCAGCAAGGGCAGGGTGGCCGGGTCTGGCACTGACAAAGGGTATTAAGTCTGCATTTCTACCTTCCCTAGTCACCTATGCATGTCAGACTAGAACACACCATGAAGCCAGGGTCTGAGGTAAAGAAGTCGGAGTAGCCAGCATCTGTAGCCAACAGTCCCACAAACTGCATTGCCGGCCGCTGCCGGACAAAAGCTTCGACAGCTTCGTCGGTGATGTGTTTACCCCCGGAGATATCCAGCGACAAGATGTTCGGCAAGATGTCTTTCTGCTGCAGCAAATGAAAGGCCAGGTCTGAGGTGAACTGCTGATCGTCGGAAACATCAAGGTGAACCAGGCCCTGCAGTTCCCTGATGACGTCCAGGATCTGGGGCGTGGGCATCGTCAGGCACTTCAGATAGTGCATGGTGAGTGATTTGAGCCGGTTTTTACAGGCGAGGAGTGCAGAGAGGTCAGAGACTGAGGTGTTAGAAATGTCCAGACTCTCTAATCTGGGCAGCAAAGCGACATCTGCCAGGTGCCTGTTCTGAAAAGGGATGTTGGAAACACTTAAAACCCGAAGCCCAGCCAGCTGGCTGAAGCGTGGCACCGGGGCCTCCGCAGCAGGCAGAGTTCCCGAGTTCAGCACGAGGCACTGAAGGTGTTGCCGGGCCCACGGACTGCTGCCAAGGCCATTCAGGATATCTGGGATGGAGAGGTCTGCGCTCACACCGGCAGCATCCAGTTCAATAATTCTGTGATGGCAGAAGGCTTTGTGGAAAGCAGCAGCAGAAATCTCGGCTTTCCGGATGCACACCTGCTTCAGCTGCATTTGGTCACCTTGAAAAATGCCCACAGTTCGATCATTCAGCTTGCCTGCAAAGGAATCGCAATCCAAGCTGGTTAAGTTAAATAGAAACTACTTCTAGGCTAGATTTTAATCACTTATCAGTAACAATGACTAAAGTACTTTAAGTCACCTAAAGGCCTCCTCCCTGTCATTGAAGTAGGAGATAAAGCCCCTCGGATACATGAGATGTGTCAAACTGATAAACTGGGTTTTTCCCACTTTTACACTCTTGCCAAGGCCATGGCCCAGCTCAGATCAACCCTCCATCTCCCCTGGATGTGTGGTCTACTTCATAAGAAGGCCCTCTAGGGCTCCTTTGTACCTGTCCTCCCAGCACTTACCAAAGGGCTTTGCATATAACAAGTGCTTTGTTTTTTCCTTTCTTTCATCCAATAAAAATAAGAAAAAATGATTTTTTAAAAAATGAATATACAGGTCAATCAGATACTAAAGTTCTTTTAGGGGAGGCAACATGGTCAGTCTAATGGAAGGAACACTGGATTTAGAGTCAGAAGACGTGGGTTCAAATCAGATGACAATTATAAAGCACATGACCCACTACAGGTCTCTGGTAAACAAAACATTGTAACTCTATAATCAGTATTATGTGCTCCTGCTTAGAGCCCTTTTAAGCCTCAGCTCCCGGATTCTCCACATTTCTCTGAGGGGGGAAAGAAAGGGCCAGCCCAGAAAGGAAAAGTGATTTGCTCATGGTCACATGACAGTGACTAAGTGTCAGAACTAGGATTCTAACCCAGGATTTGGAGCTCCAATTTCTCTTCACTATTCTTCCCATTTCTATACAATGCCTTTGGAGCTTTTAGTAGAGAAAATCATTTAGGAATATAGCATGAGGCTCAGATAGCTATCATACACACGTACATATGTACATACACACATGTCCATACAGGGGCTCTAGTTTCATGAAACCTAATAGTGCCTCCCAACTAATCACTAGGTATCACAAATGTCTTTTAAAACTACCCCAAAACCCCACTCAGAAAAATTAATTTGAATTATTTTAACTTTAGCATTAATAACAATCATGCTAGATGACAGGCATGCTGACATACATGATGACACAATGGCGTGATGAATTAGTCCAACAACTCAGAAAAGCAATTTGGAACACGCAGAAGCACGACCACTGCGAGATCTACGTCCCAAAGAGACTGAAGACAGAGGGAAAGGGCCCACACTGTAGCAAAGAGCTGGAAACACAGTGGGTGCCCATCTACTGGAGGAAGGTGAACCAATTACGGTGTGTGCCTGTAACAGAATGTTATCCGGACAGATTCAGAGAAACCTACAAGACTTGGATTGGACTGAGGCTGAGGAAAGTGAGCAGAAGCATGAAATCTCTATGGGACGAACCACACACAATGCAACAAGCAATAACAGTGCCGTTACAGAAGCTTTTCTACCTCTCTGGGGAAAGGTGAAGACAAATTTCCAGACAGAACCAATACAATACAAATCTGCTGTGATTCGTAATCTGTATTTGTTACAAGGAAGGGCTTTTATGGGCAGGTGGGGGAGTAGTAGTAAGTGCTGCAAAAAGAATGCAATGAAACATTTTTAAAACACACAAAAGAGGGGCAGCTAAGTGGCCCAGTGGATGGAGCACTGGCCCTGGAGTCAGGAGGACCTCAGACCCAGGGCAAGCCGCCTAACCCTGACTGCCCCTCTCCCCCCAAAAGAGTCTTAAAAGAGAACAGGAGAAAGTTCAGAAGGGAAGTGATAAACCAGTCAAGGTTGGTACCAGAATAAACTTACTGTGTAAATGAGCTAATGTAATCAATCAGCGGCTTCACATACACTCTTTTTCTGGACTTCTTCAGATATGCAGCGCTCGTTTGATGATAATGCCTTATCTACCACTTTTAGGAGAGGGAAATCGCAAACAATAACACTGGAGAAGGGCGTGCAGGAGGAGAAAAAAGAAAACCACACCATGCTGCTGCTGATCTTAGCTCTAAGTATTTATTTCTGGGTGGCAAATGAAGTTAATGTAGGTACAGGATTTGTGCCCAGTATCGGTACTGACCTCACAGGTATTTTAGAAAGAAATGCATAAAATGTTAGCATTTTAATGTACATTTTCTGGCCTAGGTTTCACATAAAAGCAGGAATCTTTTATGGGATTCCCTGACAAACTGTCACCTAGCCTTTGGTGTGGCACCTCTAACTCATAGGGAACTCACTGTACATATTTTTTAAAATAAATGTTGCTCTGACATATGAACTCCTAGCACGCTATCAATGGACGCCCCCCCTCCCCCCACCTATATCAACCCTGAAAACAGTCAAGTAAAACAGAACTGACTTCTATTACATGCAACTTAACATCTTCATGGTGTTCTGTCTGTTAGAAGAAAGGAAATATGTGGGTGGGGTGGGGGGAAGAGCGTCCAGTGTTTCTAATCCGAGTCCTTTCGCCACTTACAATTTTACAGAGCTGTAGTAATTCTCTACGCTATTCTTTTGGTGGTTCTTTGACCATCATGTATCATTTCATACCCAACATCCCCTATTTCTTTACTAGCCCATTACCACAAGGAGCTGTGACCACCATGCTTAAGCACCTCCCCGAGGCTACAACTCAGAAGGGAAAGGTCTAGGTGGGCAGCCAGGCTGGGCCCTCTCACCTCCACTTAACTAGAAAACAAATCTCAGATACCACTTCCTACTAGAGACCCTTACTGATTTCCTCTCATCCTCATTGTTAATTATTAATCTTCCTCCCTCTCAAAATTATGTTATGTATACTTTGTATATGGGGCAGCTAGGTGGGGCAGTGGATAGAGCCCTGGGCTCACAGTTGGGAAGACTCATCTTCCTTCTGGCCTTAGACACTTAACTAGCTGTGTGACCCTGAGGAAGTCACTTCATTGTTTGCCTCAGTTTCTTCATCTGCAAAATGAGCTGAAGAAGGAAATGGTAAACCACTCCAATATCTTTGCCAAGAAAACGCTAAATGGGGTCACAGAACCAGATACAACCGCAAAATGACTAAGCACAATACTTTGTATATATGTGTCTGGGAAAGAGAAGCCATTAACAAATGTTTGTTGAACTGAGTAATTTATTTGTGCATATGTCGTATGTTCCCGGGAACATAGAAGCTCTCAGAACATATTTGAAACACCAGTGCTGCGGCAGGGCTCAGAGGCTTATGGACGTGGGCTCTCCCAACCTACACACAAATGGATCCAAGCCCACAAACGACGAATGACGTTAAAGAAAATCATCCAAAAAGATGCAAATGAGGAAACAGGAAATAGAGAAGTTGTGGATACGAATTTCTCAATATTATTGATACTGAAGAACTGAAAATGCTTGAAAAGACAGCCAACAGTTGCATGTTAAGTGACAATTTGCCAGTAGCAGTAATAATGCAGAACACCCCAAACAGCCAGGAGAGAGAACCTTTTCAATTCTGAGGATGACGCTGGTAAGCAAGATGCACCCAGATATGTTTGACAAAGATAATGTAATAGTCTGTCAACATGACAATGCATTGAGGCAAAAACAAATGGAAATTTTACCTCCAAAATGATGTAATGAGCTTTGGAAGAAGACTGTGTTTGCCAAAGTCACCGGAGGTGACAAACGGTAAACCTGTGTGGTCAGCACACCAGCTTTTCACTGCTGTGTAGATCTAGTTTTTGTTTTAGATAAAGCGGTTTAGCAAACTATATTAATGTACACTAGAAAAACCTATGGCAATTCTTGATGACCTAGGTGTGTTCCTGCACTGCAACCAATTCTTCCTTCTCATTATTTATATTCTCTTCAGGCTCCACTCTTGCCTCTGTCCTTTCTCTACCAGGCCGAAGAAGCCTTCTCACAAGCCACCCCTTCGGCCCCTTCCTCTGATTGGCTGGTTTCTGAGATCCACCATTTTAAGGAATCTGCCCCAGCCAGCCAGGTCCTTAGTAATCCTCATGCTCCACTCGAAACTCTCTGGACTTTCTCTAACATCTTCCTCTTCCTTCCTTCTCCCTTTCATAGCTTGTTCTTACATGCTGTCTTCCTGTGTTAAGAGTACAAACCCCTTGAAGGCAGCGATTCTCTTTCTGTTTGTATTTATATTCCAAGTACAGTGCCTGGCACATAGTAAGCACTTAATGCTTATTGATTCTGCAATATGGGTGTTCAGTTCTATTTAATTGTTAAAGTAAACAACGACTGCCAACAACTGTTTAAGAAACATGTACTATAACAGAAAGAATGTCTCCGTTTTTTAAGTATTTAAGTCATTTCTGGCTTTTTCTGCTAGACAAAAATATATGTCTTCTAAAATGAACTGTATTATCCAATAAATCAGCAATTAATGATTTAAATTTTTTGTTTAATGAGGAACAATGGTGAGGTGACTGGAAAGACACAGTGGAAATACTTCTTGTAAGAAACTTTCAAGTTCTTACTGTTAACATGTCTACTTTGATTTGCCTGAAGTGAACCTGGTGCAGGAGAGTGCTGGAGTCAGGAAGATCCTAGTTGGAATTCTGCCTCGGGGGCCAAGTCCTTTAGCCTCTCAGTGGGCGCAAAATAACGCCATCTCCCAGAGTAGCTTGTGGAGATCCAATGAGATAGCCAAGTAAAACGGGCTTTGCAAACTTCAATGACATAAAATGTCAGCTATTATCATGATGATTGGGAATCATAATGATACAAGCAATTCAGAAAAAATTTCTGGAGCCTACAATTTTTTCCAGGTCCCATATGTGTATTCAAAAGATTTATTTTATAATACTGAACTTTTGAAGAAAAATTGAAATCATGTTTGTTCACTTGTGTATATTCTGTGAATATTAGGCTTAGTACTATAAAAAACTGTTGTGAAGCTGAATCACTGTCCCCAGCCCCCAAATAGTCTAAAGTGACTGAAATGTAAAAACAAAACAAAAAAACCCAAAACACCTACAGTACTTTGCTATTAGATATTAGATATACCAGATCTGTCCTTGGTTCAGACTGGCATTTTGTCAGTGTTGAGAATTCTATGCCACAATAGCAACAAGATTCCATATTTTGGGTACTTTTGGGGTCCAGACCTGTGCTTCATAGGTGTGGAGACCCCTCTCCACTGATCTAAGTCCCAGAAAGCTGCCCAATATGGGTTAGAGACAGGACTCGTACACAAATCTTTCTGATCAATGGCCACAGTCCTCCACCAACTACCTACTTTGTAATGTACAGTGATATTCCACTATATTCATAAAATCACAATTTGTAATTTCCAGTCATTGGGTGCAGTTAAACTGCGATTTTTGCTATGACAAAGTGTTGCCACTAAACTTTTCATAAATAGGTTTTTCTTGGGACTATAAGCCCACTAATGGGATTTTGGGGTCAAGGATATAAACAATTTTGTCTCCTTTTTCCTAAGGTCCCTCCCAGCTCTAAATGCTTCAATTATGCCTTTCCCCTCTCAGCTTAAGCCCAATTTAATCCAACATTAATTAAGCAACTAATATTCAAGAGGCACTAAGCCAGGTGCTGGAGATACCAAGACAAAAATGAAGAATCACTGCCTCCTCAAAAGGACATTAACTTGGGGCAATTAGGTGGCACAGTGGATAGAGCACCGGCCCTGACATCAGGAGGAGCTGAGTTCAAATCTGGCCTCAGACACATGACACTAGCTGTGTGACCCTGGGAAAGTCACTTAACCCCATTGCCTAGCCCCTAACCCCAAAAAAGACATTAACTAAATTTAACACGCATAAGAAGGAAGCGGAGAGAATTCAGATTAAACACTTGATGGGCAGTAGCTGGCAAGGTTTCATAATAAAGGGTCAATTCTAATGCCAAAGGGCAGTTCCGCTAGTTCCTTGGGAAGTGCTTGAAGTGACCTGGAACTCGGTTTCCTTATCTGTAAAAAAGAGGGGAGGGGAGGGGACTAGAAGGCATCTACCAAGATCCCTTCAAGATCTAAAACTATGATCACGTTTGTCTATGAGCTTTCTGGACAGATTCCCCACTGCCCCAGAGCAATTTAGAAGGTTTTTAAAAGAAGCAAAAACCTTTAAGTTTTCTCAGCCTCAGAACTGAAAACACTCAAGAGCTTAGGGAGAATAATCATCACCGCTTAGGTTTACACAAATTTACATTGATCTGTCCAATTTACTTTCACAATAATCTGTGAGATCAGCTGTGCAAGGATTTCTATCCTCATTTTACAGATGAGGAAACTGAAGCTCAGAAACAGAAGAGACTTGCCCTGCCCCAAAAGATCTGCATGACAAACCCTGGACAAATTATTTCCCCTTTCTGGACCTTAAGTTCCTGGTCTGAAAACTAAGAGGGCACTAGGTATTACAAGACCTTTAAAGTTCCCCTTCCAGCTTTGGATTTCTATGATTCTGTTCAGTTTCTAGTTCATTTCTCCACAGGCCATCACAAAACATATTTCAAAGATATGTCCAATTTGTCATTATTTTTTGCAACAAAGCTACGGATCCTAACCTTTACCAGAGAAATTTCAACTGCCAATAGATACCAGATAAACTGCATTACCATGAACTGTCATCATATGCAGCAGTCGATCAGCTACTTCCTGAGGGAAACTTCCCAGCTCGTGCAGGCGCAGGGTTCCATCAGGTCTTTCTGAACAGAACCTGTCCAGGTCAGTAGCCAGGACAATCAGGCAGATGTCAACCAAGGAGTAGGGAGATGCTTCCTCCTACCAAATAAACCCCAAGCAAATACACTTTATTAAAACAAAGAAGCCTAAAATTATTGAACATTAAATTAACACTAGCCAGTTAGTTAAAACAAGTGATTTTTGACATCTGTGATAATGAAATTCAATACATTCAAACTTAAACATTTATTAAGTCCCTACTAAGTGCAGGCTACTGTGCTCAGTCTTAAAGACATGGCATGTATACAAATAAATACAACACAAGGTAAACGTGATGGGGCAAAGAAGAATTCAATCCATACTTACCTAATACTTCATAATCAAAAAGTGGGTCACACACACCATGTGTAATTTCATACATGATGACAACTGAAATGAATCTCCTATTTACCTCTTCTTACAACACAATCTAGGTCAGTGTCAATGTAATGCAGGTAGAGATGATGTTCTCCAGATGATGGCTAGCCAATTTCATCTATAAATTTCTGCTTCTAAACTTAGATTCTTCACCTCATTCCCCATCAACCAAACTCAACCTTTTCCTTCTCTTCCTCAATCCCCCATATTCTGGTAGCAGATGACCTAAAGCCCCTTCTGTTTGTCCCTTCCTTCCTGCTTGCTCATCAGAGATGACGCCCCCAACACCGTGATCACGCCCACTTCCACATTCTATCCTGTGTGCTCAAGCTAGCCCTCCCTCTCCCCAATGGCTCCTTCCAACCAATGCACATACCTCCCTAATTCCACATATAAACACTTCCTTTGCTCTTTAGACCAGTTACCATCATCTCATCTTTTTCCTCTCCTTCATAAAACAACTTTCTTGAAAAAAACCTTATTACCCGATGTCTCCATTTCCCCCACACCCACAGAAACCTGGCTTGCTGCCAAAAATCAGACCTGCCCTCAAAAGAGCTTCCATTCTACTAGATGTAAACAGAGGAGTGGAGTGTATACACACACCCATACATATACACGCCCAAGCAATGACACAAGCAAAAGCTGCTCCTCAAATTGGTGATCAGGAATAATCAAATTCAATGACTTTCCCCCCCATTATGATCCCTGGCCTCTGAAGAATGCAACACTGTTTGATCCTCCCTTCTCACTGGATCATTTAATCTTGCGGTTTCAGACACATCACATTCCTGGTTCTCCACCTGTGCTAGCCCTTGTCTTCTCCAGTCTCTTCTCTTCACCCACCTGTTTAAGGAGAGTGGCTCCTCACGAGGTACACAATGTCTCTTTATTCTTCTAAGGTGGGTCAACTACTGTGGCCTTTTAATATCCCAGCTATCCGAAAGGAAAGCGTCCCAGATCTTGCCCAAAGGGTAAAAGGCCTCTTCCCACACTCTCAGGTCTCACACAGTACTTTGCTGGCACTTCTACGGTATACTCCACATCATATTTATTTCTGCAGGTCTCATTACTAGGTAAGCAACACCTTAAGACACTTATCGCAATTTTGTATCTCCTAGCACAATGCACCGTAATCTATGCCTAAAGTTTGCTCAAGTGTATTAAAATGTATACAGGAGTTCAAAGATAAAAAAGCCTCAGCTAAGATTTTTGCAAGAAAAAGGCTCCAATTCAAATGACTTCCTGGGCTGGGTGCTAGCATTCTTCACTTGGGTCAGGGAGGCAAAATGATTTAACCTCTTTTGCCCCAAGAGCAAGAGGAAGAAGCACTTGAGACTAGAAAGACATTTCCACACCTATTCATACAGTAACATCCTGTCTAATTTCAGGCCTAATGAATGATGCAGGCAGGTAGATTTGTGTTCTATTTGTCCTGATGTTGAGAATGGCTGGGTTTTTTAAGTCTTGGCTTTCATTTTATGAACCAGAAATGTGTTGCATCACCAAGCTGGGAAAGAACAGTTTCTTTCTGAGCTCCTAACTAATTCTAATGTAGCTTCCTCCCTCCGCTCCCCTCAAAAATGAATGACTGGCAGGGGCACCATCAGGTGGCACATAACACAGAGAAAAGAAATTCAAGTTTCAGTGAAACTGTTTGGAAAAACCATCTTTGAAGTCTTCCCCAATCAGCCAAACTAAAAGTTTTCCTGTCCTTTCTGCATAAGCATAGCCCCACTTAACCATTCAAAGCATCCAAACCACTCATTGTCATGTTTTATCCCACCAGCTAGACTTTTCAGCCCCTAGACTGAAAGGATCACCAGGAGGCTTTTTGTTTTTAACTAGGTCTTTAAAGAAAGTTTGAAAAGATTTTACTTTTCCTTCGAGGCTAAAAGTAAGTTTAAAAATTATCACACTTTATCAAGTTGGTTAGTTTGTTTTTCCCAAATTGAGGACTACGTGGAGGGTCCTCATGAGAAGACTGAAAACTTATAGCAGGGAGTGATGCTGGGCTTGGAAGGAAATGTAGGTTTTCAAGCCCTTGGGTCACTCTACAGCCTAAATAAATAAATAAATAAACCCAGGCTCTTCCATCTGGCCCCTCCCCAAACCAATCTCTCCATCTGTCCAGTTTCTCCCCCCACTATGACTGCCCTTAGACGTGGTCTCCCGGTTAGAATGGGCGCTCCTGGAGGCCGGGGCTCTGCACAGCGCTGGACACACAGCAGGGTTTCCCCAAACAGCCTCGCCCTCCCCCTCATCTTCACCTGCCGCACCTTCGCCCTCCCCCCCCACCTGCCCCAAGAATAATGAGAGTTAGCATTAATTAGGCGCCTCTTCCGTGCCCGGAGCTGCGCTAAGCGCTGTACAAACGTCACCTCTCCTGGTGCCTCCCGCCCCGCTCAGTCCAGCTGAGGGGCCCCCCCAGGTACCCCTCCCCCCTCCCAACTCCCCTCCTCGCCCGGGGCGCCGCGGCCGCTCCCCCACCTGGACCACGCAGCAGCCCGGAGGGTCCTCCAGGGCGTTCGGGGTGACGATGGTGCGGGGCCGCAGCCCCGGGTGCAAGAAGTGCACCATGGGGCCGGGCCAGGGAGGCTTCCCGGAGGCGCCGGAGCCGGAGTCCGGACGAGGCGGGTGCCGCGGGGGCGCGTGCTAGGCCGGGGCAGCCCCGCCGGGACTAACGGCCGCCACCGCCGCAGCCGCCGGTGCCAATGCCGCCGCCAATGCCGCCGCTGAGGGGAAACAGGAAATCCGGAGGGGCGGGGCCAGGGGCGGGGCCAGGGCGGGACCGGAGGCGGAGCGGCCGCTTCTCCTCAGGCAGCACGAAAAGGAGGCGACGCGGCGGCCGCCGGCGCAGACGGAGGCCTGCGCCGTACGGGGTAACTCGGCCCACTGAGCAGGGGCCCGCCCCTGCTCTCATCGGCAGAGCTCGCGAAGTCCCGCCCCTCAGGGCCGGCGGAGCTCGCGAAGCTCCTCCTTCTAGAGGCAGAGCCCACGAAGCCCCGCCCCTCCCAGGCTGCCGCTAACGCCCATTTCTCATAGGCTGAGCCCAGGAAGCTCCTCCTCCCAGAGGCAGAGCCTGCGAGGCCCCTCCCCTCCCGGATAGCGCCCATTCAGCTCCTCTTGTCCCGGGCCGAGCTCACGAAGAAACCCCGCCCTTCATAGAGAACGGTCAAGTTAACCAGCACTTCCCTAGGGGGAGACCGAGAGTTAAGCCTGGGGATGGACACGTAAATGCAAAAACCGTCGTCCCAGTCCACAGCAGGCTCCCTTTCTAAGGGAGTGGAGAAGCTTCAACAACTGTACTTCACAACAGTACTTTCCCAGGTGATTCTTGGGTCAGGGCAATGGAGTGACTTGCCCCAGTGACTGCCCACCCAGCTGGAGGTGGCCGAGGCTAGCAAAGATTCCTCCTGCAAGCCCCCTCCTCTCCTCGGCCCCTGGGGCAGGGGTCTCATCACCTGGACTACTGCCGTCGCCTGTCTGTCTGTCTGTCCTCCCCCAGCTGTCAAAATGCCCTTCCCAGCGCCCAGGTCTGACCACCTCCTTCCTTTACTTAGTAGGGCCCTATTAGCTGCAGAATCAACTGTGAAATCTTGCAGCATTTAAAGCCCTTCAGCGCCTGCCTGGTCCTGCCTTCCCAGCCTTCTCACATCATGCTCAGCCCCACGAACCCTGCGATCCGGGGACACCACGATCCTCCTGCTTGTTCCTTTCACAAGACACTCAGTCTCTGGACTCCGGACATTCTCAGGCTGTCCCCCATGCCGGGATTCCCTCTCTTCAAGTCTCAGCTAAAATCCTGCTTTCCTCAAGAATCTTCCCCTCCTCCTTCTTCATTCTAGCCCCTTCCCTCTCCCAATCCACTTCAATTTGTCCAGTCTAAATCTTGAATGTTGTCCTCCTCCCCCATTGGCCTGTGAGCTCCTTAGGGGTAAGAAACTGTCTTAGCACAGTGCCTGGCACATAGTAGGAGCGTAGTCAATGCTTGTTGATTGATTGAAGTGGGATTTGAACTCTTCCTGACTCCAACTCTAGGGTTCTAACCCACTACACACCATAGAAAGCCTCCAACCATGACTCTTACAGAGTCCCCAGCTCCACCTCTCATTGGGATCTCCAAGTTTTGCCCTTAAGATTCAGGGTCCCGCTGGTCTGTACCCTGCGCTCCTTGGCAGGCTAGAAAACAAAAGATTTTGGGGTTGGTTTAACCCCAGCTATAGAGGAAAAGAGAAAGGTCAAAGAAGAGCATGGCGCACTGCTAAGGATGGATAGGGAGTTGGTAACTGTCCAGAAAGAGAAAGTTTATCCTTATTTTCCTCTGATTTCTGTTCCGAAGAGAACAGTCTTTGGATTGCATGGTTCAGAGCAAAGTTGGCTGGATCTGAACTATTCAAAATTCCGGTGGCTCCCTGGAGCTCCAGGACAAACTGCTGTGTTTGGTGTTCAAAGCCCTTTATAACCTAGTGCACACAAGCACGCACACACACGCAACTCTCATTCCCTTCCCCGTTCTCTTCAATCCAGTGACACTCGCCCCCAAAATGACCCTCTATCTCCTAAATGTATATTTTCACAGGCTGTCTGCCACGTCCCAAGAGCTCTCTGCCTTCATTTCCCCTTCTTGGCTTCCCTGGCTTCCTTCAAGTGATACCTTCCACAAGGAGCCTTTCCCCATCCCCCTCAATGCTGTTGTTGATTCCCTCCAATTTATTCTTGTCTGTATCTCGTTTGTATCTAGTTGTTTACAATCCCTAATTAGACTGCAGGGACTGCTTTTTACCCCAGATAGCAAACAGTGCTTGGCATATAGTAGGTGCTTAATAAATGCTCAGAGATGTGAAGAGCTGGGTTCAAAACCTCTCCAGGGTGTGTACTGGGCTTTTTCCAGCACGACCCTGGAAGCTTGCTCCAGCCCTGAAATTCATATACTGGAAGTACCCTGCTACCCCTGTAGCCTCTACCTCTGATTAGAGGACTCCCCTCAGCACCTCCATTTAAAGAGGCCAGCCTAAGGGCAGCTAGGTGGTGCAGTGGATAGAGCACCAGCCCTACAGTCAGGAGGACCTGAGTTCAAATCTGACCTCAGATATGTAACACTTACTAGCTGTATGACTCTGGGCAAGTCACTTAAACCCCCTTGCCTAGCCAAAATAAATAAATAAAGAGGCCAACATTGTTTTCTTCATCCCATTCCATGCTGCACTCTGGACTCTGCTTTCCCCCATTAGATTGGAGCCTCCTTGAAAGTAAGGGCTGTCCTTCTACTTGTATTTGTATGCACAGTGCCTGGCATATAGTAGGTGCTTAATAAATGCTTTTTGCCTGATTCGAAATCTTACCTCTGTACCCTAAAACAGTAACATCCCCCCTACTACTCCTGGTTCTGCCCAACAGTGCAGTCAGTCAGTATTCAGCATCTGCCATGTGCCCAGGCCTGTGCTAAGCACTACAGGTACAAATACAAAAAATGAAATAAACAATCCCTGCTCCCAAAGAGCTGACATTGCAACCAGGGAGACAAACAGGTACATGTATAAATATTTCTAGAGGAACTGTCCATCCTCCACATAACAGCCCCTCAGGCCTTTGAAAACAAAGATGGGGGCTCCTCCCTCACCTGCATAGCCAGCCTGGCCAAACAGAGCTACCGAATGGTTACACATGAATGAAAGGCATTTATTAAACACTCACCACGTGCCAAGCACTGGGCTAACGGCTGGAGATACAGATAGAAAGGGCAGAACATTAGCCTCTCTGCCTGCTCAGGTCCTCCATTTCTAAAATCTCTAGCTTAGATGACTTTAAAGGTCCTTTTCAGCTCTAAATCATGATCCTAATAAGAAAGAACAGCTATTCCCTTGAGTGCAAGGCACCTGACTGAAATTCACCATATCCTTGGACACTGAAAGAATGGGTAGATGGTTGGGGTTGCTGATCTCTGCAAGCAATCTCTAAAAAGTTACAGAAAACTGGAAGGGCGTTACAGGGATGGCAAAGGATATATATCCAAATGGGGGGGGGAGAATGGAGTTTGAAAATTGTAGGCCAGTGACCTTGACCTCAATTGCTAGCAAAAATCTAGAATGTATTATTAATAAGAGCTAGTTAGTAAAAATCTACAACAGCATTCACAAGAAAGCAATAACGTGGCTTAGGACAAGTCATACCAAATAAACCTTATTTCTCTTTTTGAAAAGGATACCAAATGAGTGCATAATACCATTTACCTTCATTGTAATCAAATTAACACTGCTGTTGCTTGTAGGAGTGCTTATCAACTATTTAAGGTAACTGGGTGGCTCAGTGGATAGAGCGCCAGGCCTGGAATCAGGAAGACCTGAGTTCAGATCCAGTCTTGGACACTTATTAGCTGTGTGACCCTGGGCAAGTCGCTTAACTTCTGTTTGCCTCAGTTTCCTAAGGCAAATAGCACCTACCTCTCAAGGTTGCTGTGATAATCAAATGAGATAGTTGTAAAGTGCTTGGCACATAATAAGTGCTATATAAATGTTAACTGTTATTGTTCTATGACTCCACGGGCCATCCCAGGCCAAAACACCCTTCTGAGTCACCACTGCCTATGTGTCTGTATCTTTCCCTGTTAGAATATAATACACATGGACTGTCTTGTCTTTTTTGTTTTTATCTCCAGCCCTTAGCCCAGTGCTTGGCACATGGTGAGTGTTTAATAAATGCCTTTCATTCACCTGTAACCATTCGGTAGCTCTCTTTGGCCAGGCTGGCTATGCAGGTGAGGGAGGAGTCCCTATCTTTGTTTTCAAAGGCCTGAGGGGCTGTCATGTGGAAGATGGACCTGTTTGTCTCCCCTGTTGCAATGTCAGCTCTCTGGGAGCAGGGATTGTTTGTTTTCATTATTTGTACTTGTACGTGTAGTGGCTGGCATAGCACCTAGTACACAGTAGGTGCTTAATAAATACTCACTTGACTGTACTGCTGGATACCCAGAGGGCAGAACTGGGGGCAGTGGGGAAATGTTACTGTTGTAGAAACCAAATCCCCCATTATAGAAGAGCCCCAAGGAAACCTGCTGTTGGAGTTACATGGCAGTTCAGCAACCACCAAAATGCATCCCCACTGATGGATATGTTTTCTGAGCCAAACGGGGCACTTTAGTTCAAAGCAAAAGGGAGTTATACACTATACCACCAGTGGGAGAGAACAGACCAAAGGAATATGCGTGACTCAGGAACACAGAGGGAAGGGCATTCATAGGGAACATGTGTGTCTGGAGAACATGCATGAAATGGCTCGCGTCTAGCTTGGAAATTCATACACAGGCGGCACTGAGAGGGTACACAGTGTCCACAGAGTAATGACATGATCTTTTCAGAAGCAATGTTAGTGTAGTACCACCACCACCCCAAAATCCCCCTGGGGTCACTTCCCCAACTTCTTCTCCCTTATAGGGTGGCTGACTATTACTCTCCACAGGGTTCTAGGGATAAACCTGAGGGACTGGAGTTTCAATATTGCTGCTCATGAGCCCCTATCCAGTGTGGTCCCCATTATCAATAGACCAGTAGACATCTACAGACAATTCTTACTTTATGTAAATTTGCATTACCCAAATTCAACGTTATATAAAGAATGCTGAAATCCACATTCTAAAAAAACACCTATGTTAACTTTACTGTACAGTCCTGTGCTCTCTCTCTCTCCGTTCTTGCCCTCAGCTCAGCACTCCATAGCCTTTCATTCCTCCGCCAAAAA